GATGTAATGTCTATAATTAAATAAGTATTATAAGTAAAAGTTAAGCCAAAAACGTAAAGCTTGTCGAATCTATACGAAAGCAATTTAAATATTAGAATATAAAGTATCTTACCTTAATTGTAGCATAATAGAACAAACAATAACAGTCAAACAAATTAGAAAAAAACCGAAAACAACCAAAATGCCGAATGGCAAAAACGAAACATACGTAAATTTATTCAATTTATTTTGAAATTTGAAATAAACGACCGCGTCAACTTGTCAAAAACATACTGGATTTCTTCTAGTTCATCCAAATTAGTTGGTGTCATTTTTTCGAAAAGCTCATCATCTTCTTCTTCTTCTCTGTTACATGGCCTCTTGCGTTGTGTCGCATCCGGCCAGCATATTTCTTACACTTTTGGCAAAAGTCCAAAGAGTGCACCATAGAGAAAGAAAGATGAGAGAGTTCGATCCTTTACTAAAAATTGGCATAATGTTGATGGTGCTGCCTCTAACTCCGGTCGTCAATTTATCGCGAACTAATCAAGAATGACAGTGTAGATTTCTTCTATATTTAAAAACAAAAAATGGCGGTAAATTTAAATTTTATTTCTATAATTCTATTTTATTTTCTTACATTTGATAATTGTGTAGTCATTCAATAGCCGTTTCTCAAGCAAGAAAAACGACTATCAAATGCATACACAATTTACAAATTGGAATATTTAAAATAATAGAATTAATTGATTTATGTAGAAATTTATTAATTTAAAATTATACACAATACAATTATATACGATAACTACGAAGAAATAAAATTTTACATTAAAAATAAGTACCTACTAATATTTAAAGGAAAAATCACATTTATATCACAGAAGTTACGAAAGGATATTTACATACACTAAATTTAAATAGAATTATTTTAGTAAAATTGGTTATTTCTAAAGCTATACAACGATAAAGTTGGTCTTATTCCTCAGCTCCCAGGGTCTACACCTTCCAGTTCTTATATCATACGTTATCTAAAACAAAAAAATATCAGCAGCATCGAATTCTGGGAAAATAACGAATAGTGAGAAATAGTTGTTAGTTTTTACCATTTTCCCGATAATACAATGGCATACAATAATACAATTGGTACAATGGCTCCAACAAGTTGACAAAAAACATCTGATTTATGATCTTTGCAAGAAAGTGTTCTTTGGTGTTGACATTTTAAATGAGCAAACACAATTAAAAATAAAAAAATATATAAAAACTCACCAATTTAGGTTATACACAAAAATGGCGCCTACCTACACTACTCACGAAACTTACGTAAAAAGACCAGCGTAAGTGCATAACACAACTCGACAAGAACGGCAAGGAAGACTACCGAACGAAACAATCCGAACATCGCTATCGTTTGCGTTTGAGCAATTATGTGAAATTGTCCAATCAAAAAAATTGAAATATATTTCATTTTTCGATAGCAGCGCCTCTTACGGGGTCTTCAAAATGAATCGTGTCCCAGATAACACGTAAGCTTGTGACAAGGTTGTCATGTACTTGTCATGTCCTTATCATGACAAGCTTTGCAAGACAAGCGGTTAGAATAAGGTTAGAGGTATAAATAAAGGTTAGAGTAAGGTTGTTTTGACAACCTTATACAATTGTCATAGCATTGTCGGAATAAGGTTTTCGTGACAAGCTTTTAATAATATTATTGCAAGGTTGTTCTGACAACTTTATAAAGTTGTCATTTTCTCATCGTGACAAGCTTTACATGAGAAGCTTTTAATAATGTTATTGCAAGGTTATTGCGTAATATAGGCTTGCGGTTATCACGTTTTTATAAGTTTTATATTTAAGATTATTTTAAAGTTTACTTATAAATTATACTAAAAGATTTATAGCTAATTTTGCAATATGCAAAAATCACGGGAAAAAGTTAAACTAATAAGCTTGTGGAAAGATTACACTACACAACATACATCTATGAAAAGGCATACATTTGTACCTACATACTACAAAAAGTGAAAAATATTTTTTTTTAATTATTTTAAGACATTTTTTATTCAATCCGATAATTTCCTATGAAGTTTTATTTTATCTAATCGCTACTCGATGTAAAGGGTAGGGGGTTGGTTGGGTTGGGTTTCTAATTTTTGTGCCTTCGGTACTCGACTTTCTCTACCAGCATTGCTGACGCTATTGCCTTTTTAAATGTTCGCTCTTAAAATTTGCTGCTGTTATTTTTCAACGTGTTTTTTTAACCTACCTTCATTTTTCAAAGGTAAGTCAAATATTTATTATTTCTTTATATTTCGATGTATCATCTATGCCTTATGTAATTATTAATAGAATGTTTATTCATAGGTATCACTTGAAGACCGTTCAATAAAATGTCCCAAAGACCGATGCATTAGACAGGATTCCATAAGGATATAAATGAAAAAATTTAGTGATGAACAGAATAATTCCAGACGAAAAGTTATCATTAATTCATTCGATTAAATTCATGATGAAGAATCAAATTAGATGAATGTTTAGCCAAACAACTTCGCTCGACTCGTAGGTTTTTTAGACTTGCAATTTACAAATAAACTGTTAAGTTTTTTTACAATTATTTTACTCAACTATTTATTACAGCTTTTCGAACACTTTAAAAATTTCACAATGCCCTCATAAATTCTAAAGAATAGCGGAGTACCAAGAAATACTGAAAACACATGGCCACACTTGATGGGTTCGCCCGGGTTTGCCTGACAATTCACAAATTGACAGATGTTTGTTGGGATTATGAAAGGACATTTTAGTATTTTTTCAATTTCATTTTTAAACAAATGGACTATAATAGTGAGTATATTAATTTTTTCAATTATTATAGGCACATTAATTTTTTTTCTTTTACAGGGAGGCCCGTCAAAAAATATGTTTGGTATGGCTGTTCATCCATATCCGGGACACAGTGATTATATTTGTATACATATTTTATTAAAATAAATGTCAATTATATAATATTTGCATTTTTTTCATATATTTTATGCCTTTCCATAAGCTTGTCGTAATGTTTTCAGAAGCTTGCCATAAACATTTTTCAAAAACCTTGAAAAAAGCTTTCCGTAGCGTTTCTATAACATTGTTATAACCTTTTCACAAGCTTGTCATAACCTTTTCATAATCTTGCCTTAATAAGCTTTTAGTAATAATACTCGCTGAAAGCTCGGAAAGGGGGCTTCGCCCCCTTTCAACCCCCCCGCGGCACAAAGCCAAGGCCTACCGGCCTTGTCTTTCGTACCGCGGTTTTGGTCACTGACCCGAAAAGTAAGAGGCTTATGAAATCTGATGAAAAAACTGCCCACGTTACTAAAAAAACTTTCCTACAGATAAATCAAATTATACCTTTAAACCGAGCGAGTGAAGCGGATGACGAGCATCCCAAGTAGTTATGGTAGGCTTCTCTCTCATAGTTAATTTTTAATATTTACCCTTCACTAAGCGAGCGAAGATCATGTTCCCCAAATGTCTATGTAGTAAAAGGCCACAAAGTCATCAAATTGCCGGTGCAGAATACTCTCCAAAATTTCCTAATTAACTGTATGAATAGTCTTAACACGTTCCAATCCTCTCACGTTTAAAACAGTTACAGAATCCTAAAAAATTAATAAATACAATTAGAAATGGGTTCATTTTCATAGAACATTCAATACTTTTCTTTTCAGTATTCACTTTGAAGGAAAGCATTTTGGTAAAAGGTAAAAGAAAACTTCGAAATATGCATTTATACAGACGTTTATAGTAAATGCTCGATGACAAAAATCAGAAAGAACCAGATAATAAATATTTTTTTAAATCATTTAGAACTGTCTAAAACTATTTAAAACATTCTAGAATCATTAAGAATTCTTCGGAATCATTTACAACGCTTCAGAATCATTTAAAACTGCATAGATCATTGAGAACGTTCTAGAACCATTAGAACCCTCTACAATCATTTAGAACTATCTAAAACCATTTAGGATGCTCTAGAATCATGTACAAAGCTTTTGCATAATGTAGAACGTTCTACAATCATTTAGAACGCTGCAGTATTTTTTGCAATTTTTCAGAATCATTTAGAATTGTTTAAACCCTTTTTTATACCGTTTTAGAATTATTTAAAATGCTCCAGTAATAATTACAATATTTCAGAATCATTTAGAATTATTTAGAAGACTTCAGAATCCTTTACAACTGTCTTAACCCATTTAGAACCTTTTAGAATCATTTAGAATGCTCCAGTATCATTTACAATATTTTGGAATCCTTTTGAACTGTTTAAACCTATATAGAACGTCTTAGAATTATTTACAATGTTTCAGAACCATTTAGAACAGTCTAGAATAATTTAGAACGTTCCACAATCATTTAGAATGCTCCAAAATGATTTACAACGCTTTAGAGTCATTTAGAACTGCCCAGAATCGTTCAGAATGGATCCAGTTCGTCATAAACTGTCGTAAAAAACCGCAAGGACATCGATCTGCTGGTAAAGAAATCAATTAGAGCGAAAATCCTGCTATCCAGGTGTCTTGACTAAGTTGTAGAAGACCGTAGAGATTACAGAAGCTTGAAACGGCTTCAGAATCCTTAAAAATAGAAAAAGAATCATTAAAAATGGATTTATTCTAATAGAAAATTCAATTCTTACCTTTTTAGTATTCATTTTGAAGACATAATAGTCTTGAAAATGGAAGAAAACTGTCAAAATTTCAAGGAAACTATCCAAATTATCCAAATTGACTGTATTGCTAGTCACATCGAGTTCTAATGCTCACTCATAAGGCTTGAAACAGCATTATAATCCTTAAAAATAGAAAAAGAATCATTAAAAATGGATTTATTCTAATAGAAAATTCAATTCTTACCTTTTTAGTATTCATTTTGAAAACATAATAGTCTTGAAAAGGAAGAAAACTGTCGAAATTCCAAGGAAACTCTCCAAATTATCCAAATTGACTGTATTGCTAGTCACATCGAGTTCTAATGCTCACTCATAAGGCTTGAAACAGCATTATAAACCTGAAAAATAGAAAAAAAAACATTAAAAATGGATTCATTCTTATAGAAAATTCAATTCTTACCTTTTCAGTATTCATTATGAAGACATAATAGTCTTGAAAACGGAAGAAAATGGTCGAAATTCAAAGGAAACTCTCCAAATTATCCAAATTGACTGTATTGCTAGTCGAATCGAGTTCGAATCCTCTCTCATAAGGCTTGAAACAGCTGAATAATCCTGAAAAATAGAAAAAAAAATTAAAAATGGGTTCATTCTTATAGAAAATTCAATTCTTACGTTTTTAGTATTCATTTTGAAGACATAATAGTCTTGAAAACGGATGAAAAAGGTCGAAATTCAAAGGAAACTCTCCAAATTATCCAAATTGACTGTATTGCTAGTCATATCGAGTTCGAATCCTCTCTCATAAGGCTTGAAACAGCTGAATAATCCTGAAAAATAGAAAAAAAAATTAAAAATGGGTTCATTCTTATAGAAAATTCAATTCTTACGTTTTTAGTATTCATTTTGAAGACATAATAGTCTTGAAAACGGATGAAAAAGGTCGAAATTCAAAGGAAACTCTCCAAATTATCCAAATTGACTGTATTGCTAGTCATATCGAGTTCGAATCCTCTCTCATAAGGCTTGAAACAGCTGAATAATCCTGAAAAATAGAAAAAAAAAACATTAAAAATGGATTCATTCTTATAGAAAATTCAATTCTTACCTTTTTAGTATTCATTTTGAAAACATAATAGTCTTGAAAATGGAAGAAAACTGTCAAAATTCCAAGGAAACTCTCCAAATTATCCAAATTGACTGTATTGCTAGTCATATCGAGTTCGAATCCTCTCTCATAAGGCTTGAAACAGCTGAATAATCCTGAAAAATAGAAAAAGAATCATTAAAAATGGATTTATTCTTATAGAAAATTCAATTCTTACCTTTTCAGTATTCATTATGAAGACATAATAGTCTTGAAAACGGAAGAAAACGGTCGAAATTCCAAAGAAACTCTCCAAATTATCCAAATTGACTGTATTGCTAGTCATATCGAGTTCGAATCCTCTCTCATAAGGCTTGAAACAGCTGAATAATCCTGAAAAATAGAAAAAGAATCATTAAAAATGGATTTATTCTTATAGAAAATTCAATTCTTACCTTTTCAGTATTCATTATGAAGACATAATAGTCTTGAAAACGGAAGAAAATGGTCGAAATTCAAAGGAAACTCTCCAAATTATCCAAATTGACTGTATTGTTAGTTATATCGAGTTCTAATCCTCTCTCGTAAGGCTTGAAACAGCATTATAATCCTGAAAAATAGAAAAAGAATCATTAAAAATGGATTTATTCTTATAGAAAATTCAATTCTTACCTTTTTAGTATTCATTTTGAAGACATAATAGTCTTGAAAATGGAAGAAAACTGTCAAAATTCCAAAGAAACTCTCCAAATTATCCAAATTGACTGTTTTGCTAGTCATATCGAGTTCAAATCTTCTCTCATAAGGCTTGAAACAGCATTATAATCCTGAAAAATAGAAAAAGTATCATTAAAAATGGATTAATTCTTATAGAAAATTCAATTCTTACCTTTTTAGTATTCATTTTGAAGACATAATAGTCTTGAAAACAGAAGCAAACGTTCGAAATTTCAAAGAAACTCTTCAAATTGTCCAAATTAGCTATATGGATAATCTTTTCGCTTTCTAATACTCTCTCGAAAGTCTTGAAACAGCTTCATAAACCTGAAAAATAGAACAAAAAATTATTAAAAAAAGGTTCATTTTCATAGAAAATTTAATTCTTACCTTTTCAGTATTCATTTTAAGGACAGAGTAGTCTTGAAAACAGAACAAAATGGTCAAAATAGCTTCATTACCCTGAAAAATAGAAAAAGAATCATTAAAAATGGGTTCATTCTTAAAGAAAATTTAATTCTTACCTTTTCAGTATTCATTTTGAAGGAAGAGTAGTCTTGAAAACAGAAGAAAATGGTCGAAATTCCAAAGAAACTCTTCAAATTGTCCAAATTAGCTATATGGATAATCTTTTCACGTTCTAATCCTCTCTCATAAGGCTTGAAACAGCTTTATAATCCTGAAAAATACAAAAAAAACATTAAAAATGGGTTCATTCTTATAGAAAATTCAATTCTTACCTTTAGTATTCATTTTAAAGGTAAGAGCATTTTAATAAAAGGTAGAAAACGGTAGATAATACCATAAAACTCCAAATTACTCAAATGTGCCCTTTTTAATTTTACTAATAACAAAAAATCATTCGTTACCAAGTTATTTTTCAACCAATTTTAATGATTTCTGTTTCAAATAATTGTTTTCGAATGATATTTTGTCCTGTTAACATAATATTAGTAAGTACTTACGTTTTAAACACATTATTTTGGTACCCGAAGATACTCCGATCGAAGAAAAAGATGTTTCGAAGAATGGTAAAAATCGTAGAAAAAATCCAAAATATTGTCCTAATTGTTGTTGGTGGTTTGCTTTACGTTTCTAGTAGTCATTTACTTCCTATTTTTCAGTGTCAATCCTGCAAAATAAGGTGAAATTATAAGTAATAAAAGTTCCTTTTTATTCTACGGGTAACAAAAAATCATTCGATACTTTGTTAAATATCAATAAATTTTTACGATTATCCTATAAAACAATCTTAATCGATTGATATTTTGTGTTAATAAAGCATTTTATCAAGTACTTACGATTAAGGCAGCTTATACTTTTGAATAAAAGTAACCCAAGTAGTTCTTCGAACGAAGGTAAAATGTTTGGTTCATTCATCTTCGTTATTTCTGGACCGATTTCAATCATTTTCTCTTTAAAACGACGCTTACGTAGTTCTCTTTCGGCTTTTCCATACTCTGGAAACTGTATTTACACCCAAAAAGTGGTATTCTTCCAAATGTAGGACCATTTATTGAGGTAGGATTTTCTACGTAGACCATTCTTCGTATCCAAATTTTGACTAATAATCGACGGAATTTACCACAATATGCTTACTGGGACCTTCTTTTCATCATCAGTTTGGTAATAATCGTGAAATATAGGCTGCAGGTCTTCTAAAAAGTAAAATAATTTGGTTAAAAAGCGGCTTTATGAAACTTAACCTACAATGTTTTAAATGGGTTATTTCTTGTACGGGACCATTTAAATATTGTAGATTGTTTGTAAAGGTATTAATATCGTCAAATAAGCTAACTTACCTTGAATTTAACGCTGAAAATCCATTAAAAATGCGAAATTAGGCGCATCGAAGCGCAAGTTTCTTTTCCGACGATAGTTTCAAATGACACTGTTGACACTTGACAGTTTTGGCATTTTCCATTTCCAAATTTCTAAACGAATTTTAAACGGATTATTTAACTTAATCTTGTTTATTTTTACAGATTATGCAACAAAAAAGGTTGCTGAAACGATTTTTTATTCATTTACTTACATTTACGTAGGTATCGTAAGGTTTATGTAGACACTCACCCGAATGGTAAAAGGCCTATGAATCTTCTTCGTTAATTCTTTACCGATTTTTATCGCTTTTTTCTTTAAAATGACCACTATTTAGTCTTCTTTCGGTAGATCTATACTTTACAAACAATTCTTACACCCAAAAAGTGGTATTCCTCCAAATGTAACACCATGTATTGAGGTAGGATTTTCTACGTAGACCATTCTTCGAATCCAAATTTTGACTAATAATCGACGGAATTTACCACAATATGCTTACTGGGACCTTGTTTTCATCTTCAGTTAGGTATTTTCGGTCAAATATAGGCTGCAGGTCCTCTAAAAAGTAAAATAATCTGCTTAATAAACGGCTTTATGCAACTTAACCATACAATTTTTAAATGGGTGATATCTTATTCGGGACCATTTAAATATCGTAGAAGATTGTTTGTAGAGGTATTAAATTGTCAAATAAGCTTACTTACCTTGAATTTAACGTTGAAAATCCATTAAAAATGCGAAATTAGGCGGATCGAAGCGCAAGCGACCCGTCCCGTCGGCAGTTTCAAATGACACTGTTGACATATTCAAATTTCTCGACGAAATTTTTTTAGCTGGTTATTTATTCTCCTTTATTTTTACAAATTATTCAATAAAACGCTCGTAGAAACGATTTTTTATTCATTTTCTTAGATATAATTGTGTAATTTCAAAATTTCTCGGAGATCGGTTCGCCGAGTGAAGGTTCGGCAAAATTCGGATCCACGCGAAAGAACGAAAAATGACACAAAATTACGTACACTTCAAAAATTTTCAACATGGCCGACAATTTTCATTTTCAAATCGCGATTGTGAGCGAAAACGAATTTAGTCGGGGAAAAGAAGGTCATTTTCGTAATCAGCGGGTCCGTTTTCATCTTCCTACATGCCTCTCCGTCCCCGAATAATTCAAAAAGAATAAATCTCGCCAATGATGGGATGACGCCTGGGGTTTTAGTATATATAAGATTTATGCAACCTTTTCATAAGCTTGTCGCTACCTTTTAATAGGGCTGTGGCAAGGTTTTCATAAGCTTTGCGCAACGTTTTCAAAAGCTTGCCATAACCTTTTCGTAGTAACCTTGTCATGACAACCTTAAAGCAAGCCTCTGACATGTTGACTAGGAAGGTTGTCAAAACCTTTTTATAACCTTACACCTTGGGTTGCAACAAGGGTACAAACCGTGTCGTGACAAGGTTAACGCAAGCTTGCTACAAGCTTAAATTGTTATCTGGGGTAGTCCGATATTTCCAATGCTTTAAACAGTCTCTTTTATTTTGTCTATGGAGCGCACCTTGCAGTGCGTCTGGGCTATGCCCATGCCCTTTGGGAATAGGATGGGAACTTTTATTGGGTAAAGACTCTTCTCGTTTCGCGGCGTGTACGAAACATTGTCACAGGGTTAACGCCAGGTAGATAGGATGGTGGGTTGTTATCTGTAATTATCAAATTGGTTGATTAGTTAATTAGCCTGTGGTGTTACTGCCTCTATATCTATAAGCTGTTCTAGATTAATGTATCTTATTTTCTATAAGCTTGCAAGCAATAAGCATTTAATTCTATAGTCATGCACTACAAGCAATTGTACCAGTTTTTGAGTTTCTTTTGATAACGGGCTGAGCAACAGGGTGTTAATGTGTAAAGGGCCTTTTTGCATTTCTGCTATGGTCCTATATATTTTGTGACAGGATTGAGATAGTCTGCACCCGAAGATAATATGATTCGGATCCCCAAATTCGCCACACTCGCAATAAGGATCATTTTTAATGCCTATTTTATGTAGGTGTTGGGGAGTTATACAATGATTGGTGCGCATTCTACATAGCATCGTGATGTGTCGTCTAGTTTTATATTTAACTCCTCTGTACCAAGGAATTTTAGGTGGTTCATTATTCATTTTTGTGTATAGTGTTCCCTTTTGTTGTCCTATTCTTTGATATACTGTTTTCCAATGCTCCCATATCCTGTGTTTAGCTAGATTGGATATCTCTGTGTAATGAAGCTTGTTCCTAATCTGTCCTGTGTTAGTTCTCGCGTTTCCAGCTACTTTGTCGGCTTTCTCGTTCCCTTTGATACCACAGGCTGGGAACCCATAAGAGGTTCATTTTGATTCCTCGTTGTTCTGCATTCTTTATTAGCTGCCTGGTGTTTAGTGTGGTGAGGTCGCTTCTTGGGGAGATGCCCGATCTAGCTATTCTCTCAATGGCGCTTTTTGAGTCTGAGATAATCAGGATGTTTTGAGTCTTTTTTTCTAATCCCAGTCGTATTGCTTCCCGTATTGCCATTATTTCCGTTGTACATATAGAGGTGTTGTCCTGGATTCTTTTCCCCCCAGTGAGTTTAAAAGTGGGACTGAACAATCCGAATCCACATTGTCCCGTATTAGGGTCCAGTGACCCATCAGTATATATTACGCTGTGGTTGGGGTACCTTGTTCCAATAATTTCTTCCAGCTGTTTTTGGCAGTTAATTGATTTTCTGTCTATTTTGCTATCTTCCCATCTGATTCTTTCTATTTGGTATTTATACTTGATTTGGTAGCACGGTGGGATGCTTGATTTGAACATGATTTCATCATATTGCAATGCATAGTCTAGTCCTTCCATTAGCATAGGTGCAGCTTTATTGCGCCAGTATCTTGTTTCTTCATTGTATAGTTGGTACATGTTGAATAGAGCCCTGCCCACGGAGCATTGTGTCGATGTCAACCATTTCAAGCATTGTTTGGTGCAAAGCCAAGATTTCCTCATTTCCAATGTCATTTCACCGGTCTCGCCCAATAATGCATTTATCGGTGTGGATCTCATACACCCAGTGACGATCCGTAGCGCTTCATATTGTAGCTTGTTTAATCTGTTCCAGTTGGCTTTAGATGTGTTGAAGATTATATTGGTACCGAAATCTAGGTGAGATCTTATTACTCCTTTGTAGATGTTTAATAATGTTCTGGGGTCCGCTCCCCACCATACTCTCGCCACATAATGCTCTCATGATGTTGATACCTTTAGCTCCTTTGTTGTAAATATTATTAATGTGAGTGTTCCATCCCATTTTGTGATTGAATGTTATTCCTAGATATTTGATTTCATCGTGCCACTCGATATGTTGATTCCTCATTTCCAGCCTGGGTATTGGATTTCTGCTTTTGCCTCTACTAATGATCATGGCTTTAGATTTATTTACTGATATTTCGAGGCCATGCTCGTCTAGCCATTCCTGTAAGTTATTTAAGGTGGCTTGTACTTTTTCCAGGCTATCATTTACCTCAGGCGATCCGCACATAATTAAGGTGTAATCTGCGAACTGTATGATTTGGACCCCGTCCTCCGCCTTTTGATGCATCTTAGAGGTGTAAAGGTTGAATAGTAGAGGGCTTAATGGTGACCCTTGTGGAATTCCTTTATCGGTCCACTGTGGTCCCTTGAGTTCCCCTGTTCTTGGATGGCGGATAATGATTCTGCGTTGTCCTAACAAATTCTGAATCAGCTCGATTATGTCTTTTTTGATGTTGATTTCATTTAGATACTCCACCAGTTTTGGAATAAGAACATTGTCGTAGGCTGAGGATATATCTAGTGTTACTATAACCGTTTTAAGATTTTTTGTGAGATTTATATACGTTTCTGTAGCTAGCAGTGTCGTACATTCTGTAGATCCCTTGCCTTTTCTGAATCCATATTGCTCAGTGTGTAGTATTCTATTTTTTTCCAGAATATAGTCAAGTCTATTTTTGATCATGCCTTCAAGAATTTTAACTACACATGATTCTAGTACGATCGGTCTGTAGTTAGTGTGGACCCCTGGATTTTTGCCCGGTTTCAAGATAGGTATCACTGTTTGGATTTTCCAATCTGTGGGGATTTCTTGTTGTTTACGTAATACCGCGTTATAAAACCGTAGCAATTCATTTTTCATGAAGATTGGCATGTTTTTTATCATGCTGTAGGTCACCTGATCCGTAGCGGGGGCTGTGTCCTTTTTATGCTTCATAGCTAATTCGAGTTCGTTAAGGTTGAAACTTTCGGAGTAGTTTTGATTTTGGTAAGTTATCCTGTTTTCATTTGAGATGAACGGAGGAGCCAATCTATCTAGAATTTCTCCCATCCAATTGTCGTTATCAGTGTCCATTACGTTGTTATGGGTTTTCGTGTTGCTAAAACTTCTTACCACATTCTAGATGAACTTTATGGACGTTTCGTCTTCATTAGTTTTTTGACAGGCCTCATCCCACCAAATCGGTTTCACCATCCGTTTTTTATTCTTCTTCTTCATGTGTATTTCCGGGATTTCTGCCTTTGCGGCTTTATTTATTTCATTCAGGATTTCCTCATACTGGGTGTACGTCTTCTTCTCATCAAAATTGATGAAGTATTTCCTCCAATCGGCTTTTTGTGTTCCACTTGTATAACGATTTGCTCTCCTGGAAATATGGCGCAATTCCTTGATCTAATACCACCTGGGTAGGTACGTGATCGCTCACCGCTGTGTGTTCTATGGTTTTCCATATACTTTTTGTAGCTAAGTTTAGTGTGCAGATGGCAATGTCAGGGCAGCTTTTGTTTTGGTGTGGTGGTGTTATTCTAGTTCTGTTCCCGTCATTCAGGAACACAAGTCCACACTGTTTTATGGCTTTGTGCAGGTTATTTCCCTTACTGTTTGTTATTCCCGATCCCCATGCTGTGTGTTGCGCGTTTAGGTCTCCCATTAATATAAATGGGCTGTTTAGTTCCTGAAATATATCTGTGAATTCTAGTTGCGATAAGTAGACATCTGGGGGGCAGTAGAATGTTCCAATGATGAGATTCCTCACTTTAATGCCTATGATTTGTACTCTCTCTGGAAGTTGTGTTCTGATTGACATATTTGAGTATTTTAATTCGCTATTTATAAGGATGGCTACTCCCCCCATCCATCTTGTCGATCTTCTCTAATAATGTTGTGGTTTGGGATTCTGACATCTTTCGATTGTGTAAGTAGGGTTTCGTTTAGTAGAATGATATCGGCTCTTTCATTGTGAATTAGCATTTTTAATTCATCTATCTTATCCAGTAGACTGTGAATATTCCATTGGATGATGTTAAGTTTGTGTTAATTAATTAATTAATTTGATAATGAGTCATTGTGAATCAGAATTTGGACCCATCCTCCGATGGGATGGGGCTCGTAGCCATGTTTTCATTTGTTTTGTCGTAGATCTTTTCGAATTCTATGCTTTGTGTTTCATCAATTACTTTGTCTATTTGTTCTGTGGTGAGCGTTGTATGTCTTAGAATTTTTTTTAAAAATGTCGTGATCTGTATAGCTTCGGTTGTATCCTTCTCATTACTTAGGTTTCTTTGATACGCGTTTGTGTTTAGAATTGGTGTAGTGGAGGTTCTGCATGGTGGTGGAAACAGACATTCTATATGTGCTTCCTTGTTGTAGTTTAATATCGGTGGTGAGGATGCCTGTCTCTTTCTCTGTGGTGTTTTAATGACTTGGGAGTATGTTGTTCTATTGTTGGTCCCTGTATTCTGTCTTCTTTCGTTTACTGTGATGAAGTTGTTTTTGGTCGATTGTGGCATTTTTTTTGTTGTTCCTAATTCTGGGAATTCCTCAGCTCTTGTAATGGTATAGTTTGTTCGTTGATTGCCAGGTCTTGGTACCCTTTTGGAAGCTTCGTAATAAGACAGGTTTTCGTAGCACATGATTTCCTTGATTTGTTTTTGCCTTTCGAATTCAGTGCACTGCTTCCTATCAGTAGCTAGATGTTCTAGCTTGCAAAATATGCATTTTATGTCTTTTTGGCAATTGGTTGCCTCATGTTCTTCTCCGCACCTGCTGCATCTGATGTGGCTTCTGCATTGTTTGCTAGAATGACCGTATCTGAGGCAGTTAAAGCATTGTAGTACGGGTCCTACATATACCTTTACCCTGGATTCGTAATAATTGATACTTACTGTATTCGGTATATTTTTGCCTTCAAATGTGATCAGTACCGTTTCACTTGGTACATATTCTACGGTTTGTTGATTGGCGATCCTGCGATTCAGTCTCCTTGCGTCTAGAATTTTGGTAGAAGCTTTTCCGAAGTTTTTGATTTCTTCCATGCTAGTGCTCAGGTCTATATCTCTAATTATTCCTCTTGAGGTGACTAGCGATGCTGGTATGTAGCTTTCCCATTTGCTTTCTTCTTTGAGTTTATCGTTGTCCAGAAATTCGTTGGCATATTTGGAGGTTATGAACTCTATACCTATTCTGTTTGAACCTTTTCTAGAAACGGCCTTGATGCCTTGAATTCCCTTAATACGGAGTGTTCTTCCAACCGCAATGGGGTGGAAAGCTCCAATGTTATTCTTGTCTGTTCCTTCTACGATTACTAAGTATGGACCTGTGTCTAAGTATTTGTACCTTTTTGGTATATCAGGGGGTCTTCCTAGGGGTCCAGACGGACCCCCGGAGTCGCTGGCCATGACAGTTTACGATATGCGAGAAGTTTTTAGTTTGTAGGTTGTAAGGTGATTGGGTTAGAAACAAGAGGTAAGCAAAAGCAGGGCAATACTACGTATGCTTGTAAATTTGTTTGTACTCACTGCGATAAAGGTACACTCTATTATATTCACTATGTCTTATTCTTCACCAAAGGGGTTTAAGATACGCCACGTGCGTTTTTCAAGGACAAGGTCAAATTAATTCAAAAGCTCATCTTAAACATAAACAAAAGAAAAAGAAGAACAGTATTGTATGACGAATTTAGATGGCGCTCAAAATCGGGCACCGATTAATTCTAGTATAAGTGCTCACCACCTGGTCCCGCCTACTTTTAGCCCAAACTAGCTCCATCTCTCACGGACTTCTTTCTCTATCATTGGGAACGCTGAATAACCTCAAAATAACGATAGTGCCGCGTCCATACTTAATAGGTCTATGCTGCTAACAAACACACTAAGTTTAAGCAAAATAAGCGAAGAGAATTTTTAGTAGTTTATGAAAAACTGATTATTTCATTAAACATTTAACACCCTGTAACTCGGAAACGAAGAAAATTAGGACACACGTTTATATAAACTTTTCTTCATAAAATATGACAAGAAATCACTCACTGAAATTAAAGTCATCATTTAAGTGACACCCTGTATAAATTTGAGAAAAAATATTGAATATTGAAACTAAAAATCAGAGGATTTTTAGAAAAAATATTTATTTTGGTGACAAATAAAATTATTCTCAATATTAAATAATTCTGGAGCGTTCTAAATGATTCTGAACAGTTCTAAATACTTCTGGATAAACACAAAAACAAAACGTATATAAAATATTTATTTATATTTTGTTTATGTACAAAAATAAATCATACAGGGTGATTCAATAAAGACAAATTAAACTACTTAAATTATTTAAAAAACAAACAAAAAAAAAAAAACAAGAAAAAAATATAATTTTTGTTTTAATAATTAATTATCCTATCTTTGGATGTTTTTTCCCAAAATTTTCCCAATTTTTCCACCGCCTACTTTAAAAAAATATCTTCATTTATTTTAGTAACATTTTTGGTGACTTTTTGGTTGTTTAAGGGACTTTTTGGGAGGTTCAAAAATCACTTATTGAATTGCATGAAGTTACTAAAATAACCGAAAGAATAAATTAAAAAAAATCTCTAAAATTGGTGAAAAATTACTAAAATATAGCAAAATATTTTTGATGATTTTTTTTATGTAAAATGATGAAAATTTCGAAAATTTATCACAATTAATTTTTGAGATAATAGAGATTTTTTGAAATATCGCACGAATGTCAAAAAAAAACCAAAAATCTCAAAAACTAGTCGATTTTTTGAAATTTTCAATTCTTCCAAACTTGTAGAGAACAAAATTTCCCACCAAACGACACTAATATTTTACATTTATCTCCATTACTTTCCGAGATACAGCCCAAAAACCAATACACATCGTCCTTTTAGTGACTTTCCCAGTAACTTTTCACCAATTCTAGTAACATTCTAGTAACTTTTACGACTTCCCCGATCGACTTAACCGGAAAATTCTTCATTTAACTCCTCCAGTAACCATTCCGTTTGCCTAACCTCCTCGATTCCACCTGCATCTCCCCCGATTTCCCCCCTCAAAGTCGAATAATATATCCCCAAGATGTTCAAAGGCACCAAAAGTTCCTCGTTTTCTTCTTTTAGAAGCATCTTCAGGAGGGTTTTCCGTATTTTTCGCCACTCCTCGTTAACCCTGGGGTTAGTATAACTCTTTTTCGAAGATTTCCCGGGGTTATTTCGCGTTATTTTCACTTTGTAATCGTCCAATATGGCCCTAAAGGGACCGATTTCGATGATTTTAGAGGAGTATTCGGAAGATTTTGAAGATTTTTGGTGGGTTTCTTGAATTTTTCGACGAACCTCTTCGGTTTTTTCGAGGCGAGAAGAAAATTTTGAAGAAATCTGCTCAATATCGTCTTTTTCGATCTTTTTTTCAAATTTTTTCAATTTTTCTTCGTTTTCTTCGTTTTGTTTGCTTTTTTCGACCCTAGAAGAGAATGTTGAAGAAATCGGGTCGATTTTGTGGTTTTCGATTTTCTCTAATTTTCCTTTATTTTCTTCGATTTCATTCAATTTATCTTCGGTTTCTTCGATTTTTTGATCATTTTCTTCGTCTTCATTTTTTTCGGGACGAGAAGAACATTCTGAAGAAATCGGGTCGATTTTGTTTTTTTCTATTTTTGAATTTTTTTTCAAATTTTCCTTGTTTCCTTCGATTTTCTTCAAGTGTTCTTCATTTTCTTCACTTTTTACGAGGCTTGAAGGAAGTTTTGAAAAAATGGGGTCGATTTTGTGGTTTACGATTTTTTCGATTGTCTTCAATATATTTTCACTGTCTTCGATTTTCTTAAGTTTTTCTTCAATTTCTTCGGGTTTTTTAATTTTTTCCTCATTTTCTTCGTTTTTTCGGACAAACTTCATGCCGGTGTGTTTATCGATAAAGTTTTTTACGGAAATTTTGAGTTTTTCGAACACATTTGTTTCTTCTTCTTCGAAATCACTGTAAAATTTCGAAGATTTTGAAAATTTCCCGCCATTTTCTTCGATTTCCTTCAACTTTCCTTCACTTTTGTCGAACCGAGCAGAAAATTCCGAAGAAATTGATTCAATTTTGCTTCCTTCGATTTTCTGTAATTTTTCTTTATTTTTTCCATTTTCTTCGATTTTCTTCTTCCCGTGAACCCGAGTAAACTCGTAATTCTTCCCGCTTTGAGAAAATTTAAAAAACTCATCATTTTCCTCATTTTCCTCGAATTTTCCAAAATTTAAATTTTTCGATGAAATCTTGTCTTCATTTTCACGCAACTCCCCTAAGGAAATCTCCACCCCTCGGGGATGCCTCTTCAATTTTAAGAGCAATTTTGAAGATTCCTCGGTGAAAAGGAAGACTGCCGGTATGGTGACGTCATTCTTCCCGTCGCCGGACATGGAGAAGAAGGGCGAATGTCCGGCGCCGGTGCCCGGCGTCGTGTCGAGCACAATGGCGCCCACGGCGCCCGCTTTTTGCACCCTCCTGACCTGAAAATCGGGCGAAAAATGAAGAAAGTCGGGTGGAAAATGAAGAATATGAGCGATTTTCGTTCGATAACTTTAGTTAGGAAATTTTTTGGAATTTAGGGAATATTTGGGGAAAATCGTTTGGAGTGGTTGTCGAAAAAAGAAACTGGGGTTCGACCTGATGATGAGCTTTTTGTTAGTCGAAACGTCGATTTTCGAAAGGGTTGTTTCAACAAGGATAGTTTTTCTTCCGGAAAAAAAGAAGATTTTTGGCTCGAAGAGGGTTCGCGTGCTGCGCAAGCTCGTTTAAATTTTTTTTTAATTAGTAACTTCCGAACAGTTAGAGATTAAAAATTTATGAAAATTGCATCTCGTAGAGAAAAATTGCATCTCGTAGAGAGCTCGCGCAGCACTTGAGCCCAACTTCAAGCTAATAATCGCGCAATTTCGCCGGAAAAATAGCTATCCTAATGGAAACAAACCAGCCGGTTTCGAAAATCGACGTTTCAACCTTCAGTGAGCTCAGCTTCAGGTCAAAACTCCCGTTTTTCCAGCTTTTCTCGATAACTACTCCCACAAATTTCCAAAAAATTTCACTGCCCTTTTCCCGCACTCTCCCCTATCATCTCCATCTCTCCCCATTTCCTCGAAATTCCCCAACCGGAGTTATCGGCGATGAAAAAATGAAAAAAAAAAGAAGAAAATTCAAAGCCTACTCACCTTTTCCACGAACATACAATCACCCCTCTCCATCACGGCGATTTTCCCTCGAAGTTTTTCCGCATTCTCGGGCTCTTCGCAGGCCCTAGGAGGCTCCACCAGCGTCGCATAGGCCTTGATTTCCCTGTCTCCCTGTAGATTTTCCCCGAACTGCGCAGGTCCCGCTGCCATGACAACGGTCGTCAGGCGGCCATCTTGTTCTCGTGTCGTCATGGCGACGGCCTGTTGGGGTTGTTGAGGCAACTGGGACTGGTGACGCGAGAATTCGAGCATCTCGCGCATGAAGGCGAGGCCTTCTTCGGCGTCTGCCGTACTTAGGGCCTGGAAAATGCGATAGATTTTGATGTGGGAGGATAGAAGGGAGTGTCTTGGAGGTTTTTTGCGAAATGGAAATTTTTCGAAAATCGAGTAGTTTTCGAGATAATCGAGATAGTTGGTGAGCGACGCTGAAAAGTGTTTAGTAATTTTTGTGTGAGGGTGTCGAAAAGGCTTGATTATCTCGAAAATTCGAGAATTTTTCGAAATTTTTGATCCTTTGAGATTTATAGAAGATATATTTTTCTACAATATGGTGAAAATTTGAGTTTTTAATCTTAATTAATTTTCGAGATAATTGAGATAATTCGCGCACGTAGCGAAAGTTTTTTGTACTTTTTATGTTAGAGCTCTGGAACAGCTCGGAAAGCTTCGAAAATTTCGGGGTTTTTCGAAATTATCGATTCTTTTAAAGTTTTTTGTACTTTTTATTTAAGAGAGCAGGAAAAAGTCGAATATTTTGAATATCAATCGAGATAAATTTACTACTAAAGGCAGAGAACTAGTGAGTTTAATACACGAAAACGATTATCATCCTCTGTCAACAGGCACCTCAACATACTGGCCAATGCAAACAAAATCTGCTGGAGCTATTTATTACTAAGAGCATCTCTCCAGCTTATACACCGTTGGAAATTTAATTTCGCATAATAGGGAAATCAATGTTAAATTCTTAGCCGGCTGAAATCCAGTCTACCAGTATACATTTCAATAGAACGTCGCGATGAATTCTAATAAATTTAATTGTTATACTGGACCGCAAGCCGCGATTTGTAGAGGTACAAATTTATTTGTGTTAGGTATGAGGTACAAAATTATTTAGAAACTACATTTAATAGGTTTTTTGGGGATATTTCAAAAAAAAATGTGTGTATCGGTAGGTACAGTTTTGAAACAGCAACAAATTTTATTGAAATAAGGGAAAAAATAATTCAATTTTCAGCTAGAATTATACCTCAGCTCAGTAATATGGGATGACATCTGTATGACAGGTTTGGCTATTGTTTAGCAGAAAGCGGTAGACTATTTTTTAGAGTTTTTTTATTTTCTGTTTTAAAATAATCTTAAATTTATTTTTGGAGTTTCCTTTTTATTATTTTCTTAGAATTTACTTTCTTTTTCAAGCCATTGTGGCAAATATCTACATAATTCTATTTTAATATTAGTGATATTTTTTCAATAAATTATCGTTTAAAAATTCTCATTTCTTTTTAATCGACTCGACGTTCACCCATCCGAACCCGTTTTGATTCTGTCGAAGTGTCGAAACCGTCGAAATTATTTGATTTTGAATTTAACCAAACCAAATCGCGGTGTGAAGTCCAGTAGAACAATTAAATTTATTAGAATTGATCGCGACGTTCTATTGAAATGTAAAATAAAAATGGAGGAAATATTAAAATCTATTGGTCCCCACCTAATTAATAGAACCAACGTATAGAAATGATGTATTGTCTTTGTTCGTTCCAATGCTCACATTTTATAGCTTTTGTAGAAGTGGGACTAAATTTTCCAAATAGAATGCCCTTTCTTTATCAAAATAATTGAATATTAAATAAATATTGCTGCATTTTAGAAATAAGTTTTTTGTCAATAAACGAAATTGTCGTGGTTCACATCTAAAAATAGCTCCAACCAGAAAAACAAACCAATTTCAAAGTAAAAGTTTCCCAATATCGAAAAACGAAGGTTGTGCTATACTTATGCTCCTCAGTATAGTAAGTACTAATTTTTTCTTTTTGGCTTAAGTCTGACGTTTAATTAATATTACAGTTGTAGAAAAACAGATGCCAAAATTTAATTCGACAAGTGTCGAAATTTATTTTCTGAAACGAAATTTTTAAATACTTGTCAACCAACACTTGTAACTTGTTGTAACATTTTCTTGAGCGTTTTGTTTTTTTTGTGACCAAAAAGTAAAATCGTCGTCTATCGCAAGTGTTCGTCTGTATTAGTCAAATATTATCTGTTTTCAATGAAGTAAGGGTTAATATTCCAGAAAATTATTGTACTTTTGATATGTAGAGATGTTCTGGTTATAATTCTTACGATTTCTTTATGACCTCATTTTTATTTTAAAATGCCGGGTTGGGGTTAGTTGAGCAACTACTGCGAAATTTACCAGGAGAAAGTTGGATTCACTGCCAGGCTTGCAGGGAATGGGCACAAACAAAATGTGTTCCAGGTGTTCATTTGTGTTAATTGCAACAGTAATTGCAATAAAATATTTCAGATTATTTGGCTCTTTTTAAGAAGACTTTGATAATAACACAATATGCCAAAAATGCGCAACTTTAGAGTTACTTATTTAATTTTTTTTTTTTTAATTTTTAGGAAAAACTGTCGAATGCATTATTTATGATATCTCTGGTAATAATGCACCCAGCAGTTTGAAATTTGGTATAGATAATGTCCAGATACAGTACTAAATGAAACTAAACTGAGTTTTCATGGTCTATGTATGGGGCGTTTAAAATATTCAGATTTTTTTACTGTTCAGGATCTCCTATAACTTCTAACGGACGGTTTCCTTGAAAAGCCCTGTATATACAGATGCAAGTGCATTTAGCAAGAAGAAAGAAAGCATTATTTAGTTTTGCTGACCAAAGTTCGAATCAAATAAAAAATACTTTAGAGAAAAGTAAGATTACGACGAAAATTGATGCCTGCGTGTAAATAAAAAAATTTAAGGATTATTTGGAGAAAAGCAGCCTGAAATTTTAAATTTGTAACAATAAATTATTTCATTAAATAATTCTGTAAATTAATTATACCAATTTATACTTTATACCACAATTATATCATTTCTCGAACTTTTTCTCAAAACCTTCCCACAAATATTGAAGAAACTGTCCAAATATTCTCAATTATCTCGAGAACCAATCGAGATAAAATCACCGAATCTTCACTATTTTATAGAGAAATCATTTCTCTACAATTCCCCCAATTGTACCAACCGAGAAAAATCCCCCGTTCCGCTACCAACCCCGAATTTCCCGTCAAACTCACCGAGGCGTAAGTGTGCAAAAATTGGACCTTTCCATCGTCCAAGGCCAACACGTTTATTCCCATGTCTTTGATCATGCGCAAATGATCCAAGTTGGCCGGAGAAAACTCCCCGGCTGTTAATTTTCTTCTTCTGGATGCGGGAAACTTGGGGCAGGTTCCCTCCACGAGGTTTTCCAGAGGTTTCCGGAAGGTTTCCGGGAAGAGCAGGAAGGCGTTCGGACAGGTCCGGTCGAATTTCTCGTCGGTTTCTTCGATTTTCTGGGTACCTACAGGAGATTTTCTTCGATAAGTTTTGTTGGTTGATTTTCCGGGTGTCGGGGGAGTTGGGATGCGTAGAGAGGGGTTTGGGGGATTTTTTGGTGAAAATTTGGGGAAAATCGGTCAAGAATATTCCGAGAAAAATGAAGAAAACTATGAAAAAAAAACGATTATTGTTTTTCCTCTTTTATAGCTTTTCTTGGAGAATTTTCTGGATGTTAAGGAGATTTTTGTTTTATTGAGAAGGATTTGGGGGAATTTTTGGTGAAAATTTGGGGAAAATCGGTCAAGAATATTCCGAGAAAAATGAAAAAAACTATGAAAAAAACTATGAAAAAAACTATGAAAAAAACTATGAAAAAAAAAACGATTATTGTTGTTTGTCTTGTATAGCTTTTCTTGGAGAATTTTCTGGATGTTAAGGAAATTTTTGTTTTATTGAGAAGGATTTGGGTGAATTTTTGGTAAAAATTTGGGGAAAATCGGTCAAGAATATTCCGAGAAAAATGAAAAAACTATGAAAAAAAAAACGATTATTGTTGTTTGTCTTGTATAGCTTTTCTTTGAGAATTTTCTGGATGTTAAGGAAATATTTGTTTTATTGAGAAGGATTTGGGGGGGATTTTTGGTGAAAATTTGGGGAAAATCGGTCAATATTCCGAGAAAAATGAAAAAAAAAAACGATTATTGTTTTTCGTCTTTTACAGCTTTTCTTGGAGAATTTTCTGGATGTTAAGGAAATTTTTTTTTAATTGAGAAGGATTTGGGGGAATTTTTGGTGAATTTTTGGGGCTGATGTGTCGTGAAATCAATCGTAAAAGATTATTATGAAGAATACAAGCAATTTTTATATAAACATTCTCAAGATAACATTTATGGCTTTTCCTCTTTTATACTTTTCTTGGGGAATTTTCTGGATGATGGAGAAATTATTGTTTTGTAGAGGAGAATTTGGGGGAATTTTCGATGAATTTTTGAGGCAAATCTGTAGAGTTTTTCAAATCAATTGTAAAAGACTATGAAAGAAAGAAAGACTATGAAGAAAATCATCAATTTTAATATAAAATTATTCTTAAGATAACATTTGTGGTTTTTTCTCTTTTATAGCTTTTCATGGGGAATTATCTAGATGTTAAGGAAATTTTGTGTTTTATAGAGAAGGATTTGGGAATTTATTGGGGAAAATTTTAAGCGATTTTCAGCAAATAAAAATAGTTTTACAAATTGATTTTCCCCATAACCTTTCTTAACTAATTTTCCCAAACTTCTCGTAAACAAGGTTTTATAAAGAAAAATTTAGAGCCTTATCCCTCAAATTGTCGCAAAATTTCCTTGTCCAATTTTTTCCAAAATTGCTTTAATTGACAAACCATCAAAATAATTGCCCTTAAAAATAATCGGAAATAACCACATTATTCTTCACCCCATAACTTCCAACACCGAATTTTCCCAAACAACCGGTAAAACACTTTAGAGCCTCAACCTCTAAATTTTCTTTAAAATTACTAATTCTAGACCCATTTTCTAAAAATAATTTCAATATTCTTCTCTCCATAACTTCCGTGCTCGAATTTTGCCAAACTTTGTACCCATAAAAACCATCTTATAGAGCAAACTTTAGAGCCTCTACCAATTTTCTCTAAAATCCCTCGACCCAAAAACTCACCATTGGCCAAAGACAGAGGCAACAGATGCCCTTCGGTGGTGAACAGAAACTCGTCTAAATCGATCGGAGAGTCCTCGTTTTCTCCGGAGAAGAGCAAATAGAGGTATTTTAGAGTTTCGGCCAAAACGAAGGAGTCCATGCGATCTTCTTTTTTTCCAGTTCTGACGTCATTGACGGCGGCGTAACCGCAGGGAACGCGGGCGTAGCGCTGGAGGGATTTGAGTACGGTTTTGCCGGCCTAAAAAAAATTAAAAATCCCTCTCAAAATTACTACAAAAATCGGTCAAAAGTCCCTCTAAAATCGCTTAAAAATACCTCTAAAATCGTTCATAAGTCACTCAAAAAAGTCGTTCTAAAGTCATCTCAACAAACTGCTTAATAAGCTCTAAAAAATTACTTAAAAAATCGTTAAAAATCTCACTAAAAAAATTAAAAAATCGCTCAAAAATACCACTAAAATCGTTTATAAGTTACTAAAAAAGTCGTTCTATAGTCATCTCAACAAACTGCTTAAAAAGCTCTAAAATTACTTCAAAAATCGTTCAAAATCTCTCTGAAAATTAAATTTAAAAATCGTTCTAAAGTCACTTACAAATAGCTCTAAAATCGTTTATTAGTAACTAAAAAAGTCGTTCTAAAGTCATCTCAACAAACTGCATAAAAAGCTCTAAAATTACCCCAAAGATCGTTTAAAATCTTTCTAAAAACAACTCTAAAAATCTCTCTTGCTATGAAAATTCGCTTTAAACGCTTTCTAAAATCGCCCCAACTCACTATAAACTGCTTTAAAAATCCACTTTAAAATCACTCAAAATTTGCTTAAAAAACTTTCTCTTAAACAGCTCTAAAAATCGCTCTTAGAACGATCAAAAATCACTTAAAAATTGCTCTAAACATCGCGTTCTCAAAAGTGCTCAAAATTTCGCATTAAAAAGGCTTATAAACCGCTCTAAAACGTACCGAATCCGCTCTAAATTCGCTCAAAAGTATCAAAAATCACTCAAAAAATATACTTTAAAATCGTTCAAAGACGAATAAATTTGTTAAAAAAATACCGTTCATCTTTTCAGAAACGCTCCAATATTTTTTCGAAATGACTAAATAATTTGCTTTAAACAACGCTCAAAAATTTACTTAAAAAACGCTCTAACTTGCCTCTAAATAATAGGGATCGCCCGTAGCTTTATATAAGAAATAGGTAGACTCTAAAAATTCAGGCCTCAATGGGTGATTGCCCCAATGGACCCGGAAGTCAGTGGTGAAAGCTTCCGGTATGAATTTGTGACGTTGCATCACCTGAAATAAATATAAAAACACCATTTTTAGAACATTCAAAAAAATCACTTTAAATATTTTTAAAACCCCCCAAAAACTCTGCATAAGCTGTGCAAAAAAACACTTTCAATCTTCTCCAAAAACCCCTGTAAAACAACCCAAAAAAACCCTCTAAAACAATCCAAAAACCATTCCAAAATGTGTCCAAAACATCCTTTTAAAATGGCTCTCAACACCCCAAAAATATTTCTAAAATCCCACTATAACATTAATAAATGCCTCTAAAACCACCCCAAACCTCTCTAAGAATCCTATTTTAAACAGATCCAAAAACCCCTCATAACCCCATTAAACCTTTTTAAACTCAAAAACAACCTTTTAAAATGCCTCTAAAACCTTTACAAACCCATTAAAACCTAATTTTAACCTTTCCAAAAACCACTCTAAAGCCCCTTAAAAACTTTTCTAAAATCACTCCAAAACACCCTTTTCAAATGCCACTAAAACCTCCCCAAAATCCACGACTTATCCACTTTCAAAATTCTTTACAACCTCCGAAAATTCATCATCCTAAAACCCCCTAAAAGATTCTCGAAAATACACTTTCAAATATCCCAATATACCCCTCTGAAACCACTTCTAATCCTGCAAAAAAAATCTTTTTGAAACTCCTCTAAAACCGCCAAAATACCTGTTCAAAAAATAATTTAAATCCCTCTAAAATCCCCTAAAACCCTTTCTAAAATCTCTCCAAAAAAAAACCTTTTGAAATGACCCTAGACCTCTTAAAAATCCCCTTTTAAACCTCTCTAAAACCCTTCTAAAACCACCCTAAAAACCTTTCTAAAATCCCTCCAAAACACCCTTCTGCAATGATCCTAAAACTTCCCCAAACCCTCTTAAAAATCCCCTTTTAAACCTCTCTAAACGCCCCAAAAACCTTCCTAAAATCACTCCAAAACAGCGTTTAAATGCCTCCAAACTCTCTTAAAAATCCCGTTTTAAATCTCTCTAAAAACCCCTCCACAAATCCCCAAAAACTCCTCTAAAATCACTCCAAAACACCGTTTTAAAATGGCTCCAAAACTTTCCAAAACCCTCCTAAAAATTAAAACTTTACTAAAACCGCCCCAAAATCTCTAAAAAACCTTTTAAACCTCTCAAATTCTAATTCTAAAAAAAAAACTCATTTGAACCTCTCCAAAAACTTATAAAGCTTGAAAATCTTCCCAAAATTACCTTTTAACCTCCAAAATCTATCAAAACCCCACCCAGAAGACCCTATTTTAAAATTCTCCAAAAAAAAAAACCGTATAAATAAAATAAATACTAAATAAATTAATACGAGTAAAATAAATAAAATGAACATACACATAATTATTATATTCATACGTACTTGATAAAGCATTTCGTGCGTTTCCACGGCCGGCTTGATGTCGCCTTTTAAAACTTGAAGGGCCGGCCAAAACGCCAAAAGGGCGTCCATGAAATTTCTGCTATTAGTATGTGGCCTTGGCGAGAAATGGAATGAAACAAATAAATAAATCAACAGAATAAATACAGAAATATCGATCAACTTATAAATTTTATTGCAAAGTGTTTTGAAGTGATTTTAGAGAGGGTTTGAAGTGGTTTTTGGAGTGGTTTTTGAAGTGGTTTCGTGTGAAAAATTGAGTGGTTTTTGAAGTGTTTTCGTGGGAAAAGTTTTAGAGAGGACTTATAGTTGTTTTAAAGCGATTTTAGAATGGTTTTGAAGCGGTTTTTTGGAGCTAGAGTTGGATTTAGATCGATTTTAGAGTTGTTTTGAAGCAAATTTGGAGAAGAATTGGCGGGTTTTTGTGAAAACCATTTCAAAACAATCCTTCTAAACTCCTCTAAGACCTTCCAAAATACCCTTCAAAGTCCATTCTAAATCTTATTCGAAAATTCGAATAAAAACTCCTCGAAAAACCTCTAAAACTCCTCCAGACCCCCCTCTAAAACCTTCCAAAACCCCCTTTAACGTCCCTCCTAAAGCCCTCTCTAAAACCCATCTAAATCGTTCCCTAATCACTAAAACAACCATTCTAAAACCATCCAAAAATCCATCTAAATTCATCCAAAAACATCCCCTCCTAAAACCTGCCAAAATCCTTCAAAAACCCCTCTAAAATATCCCCAAAAAAACCCTCTTACCTGTGCATATGCACGTCCAACAGCATAGGCCCCTGGGATATGTACTTCATCACGGCCTCATAATGCCTATTGAACCTATTCAGGTATTTATCATCGCCCAATAAGACGTAGGCTTTGAGACAGTATTCGTAATACGAGTCGATTCCAGCGCCTACTCCTGAGTCTCTTCTGATCCAATCGCCCGAATGGACGTTGAGAATTGTTCCTGGAACGTTTATAATAATTTTTGGAGTTTTTTTTTGATATGAGAAGTTTTTTGGGGATTTTAGAAGGTTTTTAGTGGGTTTTGGTAATTTTGGAAGGTTTTTAAAAGGATTTTTAGAAGGTTGTTCGAAGAGTGTCAAGGACGATTTTTAGAATAGTGTTTAATAGAATTTTGACATTAGATAATAGACAATGGGTATAATTTTTAGAAGGGGTTATTTAAAAAATTTTTAGAGGTGTTATAGGGTGATATTTAAAGGGTTATAGGGCGATTTTAGGAGGATTTTAGAAGGTTTTAGGTTGTTTGTCGACGAGATTTTAGGAGGACTTCTGGGGATTTTCGGATTTGAAGATGAATGGAAGATTTTTTTGGGGATTTTAGGATCATTTCTCAATAAAATTTAGGCATTTCTGGAAAAATTTTGGATGAATTTCGGAAACTTTTGGTCTGGAATCTTTATACTATTTTGGAAGAATTTCGGAAACTTTTGGTCTGGAATCTTTAATAATAATCGTTATTAGTTTTAAACATATACATCAATTAAAGCTATAATCATCAATATTGATCATCTTTCATATTAATAATAATCATTACCATGCAATATCGACAAAAATCATCATCACCAATAATCATCATCATTAATGAAACTTTCTAATCATCATCATCATTCACTAATAATTATCTTCCACTAATCTTTATCATCCTCCCCTAATCATCATCAATCATCGTCTACTAATGATTATCATCATCCTCTTCTAAACATCATCATCCACTAATGATTATCATCCTCCACTAGTCATCATCATTCTTCATTAATTATCATCCAACATAAATCATCATTCACTAATCGTCAGTATCAACCTCCTCAAACCATCAACATCATCATCCATCCCCTATTCATCAATCATCACCCAGCAATAATCATCACGGCCTCATAATGCCTATTGAACCTATTCAGGTATTTATCATCACCCAATAAGACGTAAGCTTTAAGACTGTACTCGTAATACGAGTCGATTCCAGCGCCTACTCCTGAGTCTCTTCTGATCCAATCGCCCAAACGGACATTGAGAATTGTTCCTGGAACATTTATAAGGATTTTTGGAGTTTTTTTGGGATTTTTAGAGGCGTTATAGGATGATATTTAGAGGGTTTCATAAGACGATTGTAGGCGATGGATTTTAGAAGGCTGTACAGGAGAGTATTTTTAGAGATTTTGGGATGATTTAGGTTTTTAGAGGGTTTTGGGGAATTTTAGAAGGATTTTAGTGGGTTTAGGGGATTTTGGAAAGATTTCAGATTGATTTTTAGAAGGTTTTTAGGAGGCTGTCTAAAAACAGGCCTCTAAAAACAGGTTCTTTAGGAGCATTGTTATAGGGTTTAGGACGATTGTTAGAGATTCTTTAGGAGCATTGTTAGACGGTTTAGGACGATTGTTAGAGGTTCTTCAGAATGATTTTTAAGGGTATTTTAAAAGATTTATAAGATATTTATTTGTAATTTTGGTAGGGTTTTCGAGACGATTTTTCAGTGATTTAGGGAGGTTTTAAGAGGGCTTATGCGGGATTTTGGAAGGATTAATAATGGTTTTTGGCGATATTAGAAGGGTTTTTAGGAGAATTTTTAGGGAATTTTATGACAATTTTTTTATTATGAAAAACTATTTCTGGAAGAATTTAGGTAAAGAATCATTTTTAATAATAATCATCATCAATCTTCATAATAATCTATAATAATCTTTCATCATCAGCACCATGCAATATCGACAAAATTCCCCACCAATCGTAATCAATATCATCACGATACTTTGAAAACAGCATCATTAATCATCATCACTAACGATACATTATAATCATCATATTTATCATCATCAATCTCCACTAAGCATCATCGTCCTCTCCTAACCATCATCATTAACTAATCTTTTTCACTAATCATTAATAATCATCCACAAACCATCAACAAGCATCAACACATCAACCATCATTAATCATCATCCACTAATCATCATATTCCTGTAATCATCATCCACTAATCATCATCTTCTTCTAATCATCATCCACTAATTATCATCATTATCAGTTTTTACCCATGAGATCCGATCCTCTGTGCCTCATCTTCCACAATTCATCCATGGCCTTCTGGGCTTTCATCTCGAAGATTTCATCACCTGTCAATCTGCTCAAGGCGGCCATTTCTAAAATCATCGAGCCAGCGCATGCAGTGCAAGTTTCACGGCTAAATTGATCCAGTTTGTCGTGTTTAAGGCCGTATTTCATGTTGACCTTGTGATGAAAATTAATAATGATAGTAGTGTTTTGAACAATTTTGAAGATTTTGAAGAAACTTGAACAATTTTAAAGTTTTGAGAAAATTTGAAATTTTAAGGTAATTTTAACAAATTTTTCAAATTTTGGACAGTCTTTTGAACAGTTTTGAATTTTGAAGTTTTTTTTTATTTTGAAAAAATTTGAATTTTAAAGTTTTGAGAAAATTTGAAAGTTTAAGGTAATTTTAACAAATTTTTCAAATTTTGGACAGTCTTTTGAACAGTTTTGAATGTTGAAGTTTTTTTTTAATTTTGAAAAAATTTGAACAATTTTAAAGTTTTGAGAAAATTTGAAAGTTTAAGGTAATTTTAACAAATTTTTCAAATTTTGGACAGTCTTTTGAACAGTTTTGAATTTTGAAGTTTTTTTTTTTATTTTGACAAAATTTGAACAAATTTAAAGTTTTGAGAAAATTTGAAAGTTTAAGGTAATTTTAACAAATTTTTCAAATTTTGGACAGTCTTTTGAACAGTTTTGAATTTTGAAGTTTTTTTTTATTTTGAAAAAATTTGAACAATTTTGAACAAATTTGATATTTTGATAACCAAGTTTCCGATTTTGAAACAATCTTCATGTTTTGGACAATGTTCTCATGCAATCTAGTTTTCAACAATTTTGACCAATCTTTATGTTTTGAACAAATTTGAAGTTTTGAACAATTAACAAACTTTTGAACAAGTTTGACCACTCAAGTTTTGACCAACTTTCAACATTCCAGTTTTGAACAATTTTTAAATTTTTGAACAATTTCGAACAATCTTCAAATTTTTAACAATGTTCAAATTTTTGAACAATTTTAAACAACTCATACTCTGGAATGCGGTATGCCCGTTGTCGTATTAAAGGCGGGCAACAATCGATAACCGACATCTTTGGCCTTGTCCAAAAGTTGTCCTTTGTACCATTTCATGACGTCATCTCTTTGTTGAAGATATTCGGCTATCACGTGGGCGGATAAAAGACCGCTGAAAATGAACAAATTATTAAATAAAAATAAATTGAAGAATTTTGACATTTTGGACAATTTTAAAGTTTTGAACAATGCTGAACATTTTTTCGTTTTGAGAAAAAGTTTAAATCAATTTTAAGTTTTGAACATTTTTGCGTTTTGTAAACAAATTTGAAGTTTTGAACGTATTTAAAGATTTGAACGCTTTCAACTATAGAAGAAATTATAAACAACTTTGTAGTCTTGAACAATTTAATCAAAACACTTTCTCTCTACTTCTCTCTCTCTCTCTCTCTCTCTCTCTACTTCTCTTTTTCTCTCTCTCACACAATTTTGATGTTATCGACAATTTTTAGTTTTGTGAACAATTCTTGGACAAATATTAAGTTTTGAACAATTTTGAAGCATTTAACAATTTTTGACACTTTGGACAATTTTGAAAATTTTGTTCTGTTTTGTGAACAATTACGAACACATCGGAAGTTTTCAACCATTTGGGACAATGTTGTAGTTTTGAACAATTTTGAACAAATTTCAAGTTTAGAACAATTCACTTTTACCCTAAAACCCTGATGTTAGTTTCGAAAACCGAAACGACTACGTCATTGTCGAAGGTGACGTCATCGATGACCAATTTCACGGCACTCTCGAATTCCTCAAGATCACCGAAGAGGGCGAGTGTGTCCAACGTATCGATCAGGGTCAGGGAAAAACTGGAACAAAAAAATTAGAAAGAAGTTAAAAAAGTTTTGAACTATTTTGAACAAATTTGTAATTTTGAACAATTTAGAAACACATTTGTTGTTTTGAACAATTTTAAACAAATTGTTTTGAAGATTTTGAATAAATTGGTAATTTAGAACAATTTAGAATTGTGAATAAATATGTACTCGTAGTTGTGAACAAATTTGAAAAATAATTGGAATTTTGGACAATTTTGTAGTTTCGAACAATTTTATAGCCTTGTAATTCTATTGTAAGAACAATTTTGTAGTTCTGAAACAATTATAAACAATTTTAAGCAATCTTGAACAATATTGAAAATTTGTTCCTTTTTGTGACAATTTTGAAGTTTTCAACAATTTTGGACCGTTTTGTAGTTTTGAACAATGTTGAACAATTTTGAGCGAATGTGAAGATTTTTCGAATAATTTTGTAATTTTCGAACAATTATGTAAAATTTTCAAATTTTGAACAGTTTTGCAACTTCACAGAATTTTCAACGTTTGAATGAAACGATTCAAATTGTTTTAAACGATTATGAACAATTTTGAAAAAAAATTGTAATTTTGAACAATTAAAAAAAATGTAGTTTTGTACTAATTTTGAACAGTTTAGACTATAGTTAAAGAAATTTAGGAAAGTGAACAATAATTGTAATGTTTTGGACAATCACTTTTGAACTACTTTTGAACAGTTTTTGAAAAACTTTTTATATATTTTTTGGACTACTGGACACTATTGGACTATTATGGACACTTTTGGACTGTCTTTGGACAGTTTTTACCTAAACAGCTTGTGGATTTAAACACTTTTTGATCTACTTTTAGACAATTTGTGGACATAACAAACTTTTGAAGCACTTTTGAACTAATCTTTTACTACTTTTGAACTTTTGGACTATTTTTGTACTGCATTTTGAACAATATTTGAAATACTTTCTTAAACAGGGTGGTCCTCTAAGAATGATCCTAGGCCATATCTCACAAACTAATTGTCGTAAAGACTTGCAGTAAAAAATCTTTTGAACAAATTGATCAAAAGAAAATGCTGGTAATTATTTTTAGGTGTCTAAAATGGCCGCTAGAGGGAGTATCCGCCATCTTTTTGGACCTTTTTTGAAGTATTTTTTGAACAAATTTTGAACTACTCTTGAACAGGTATAGACACTTTTTGAACACTTTTTAGGACAGGTCTATAACAGTTTGTGGACTATCTTAAGACAAGTTTTTTAGACTATTTTTATAATGTTTTTAAACAATTTTTGTTCACATCGTTTTCACAACTATATTTGTACTACTTTAGGACACAACTTTTAGATTATTCTTGTACTACTTTTGAACCACTTACGGACTATTCTTGTATTAAACAATATTTTGACTATTTTTTATCTCCTTTTGAACAGCTATTTGGAATATCTTAGCATTGTCTTTTGGGCAATTTTTGCCCTGCTATTGGACATTTTTTGGGCAATATATGGACAATTTCGGACATTGTTTAACTACTTTTAAACAGCTAAATTGTTTTTTGTCAGTTTTTGGACTACGTTTAGACAATTTATAAACTATTTTTGGACAACTTTTGTACTACTTTTGAATATATTTTGGACAATTTCTGCACAGCCCTTAGACAGTTTAGATTATTTTGATCAATTTTTGGACAATTCTTGTACCAGTTTTGAACTACTTTTAGACTACTTTTGAACAATTATTTTTGGACTTACTTTCCTAAGGAATCATCGATATCCCCTCTGCTGGGCGACACCCCTCTATATCTTCCCTTACAGCTCAAAGGCATCAATTCATCGGCCGGATAGGCTCTGTCCATGTAGGCTCTATAGGCGTGATAGAACATGTCTCTGGCCTCTTCCCTATTAACATACGTACATTACAGTATATGATATTATAGGCTAAAATGTTAAAGGTAAAATAGGGTAATTTATAGGCTAAACTTATATGTATGCCATAAATGCACCATTTTTAAGATATTACAATTTTTTTGAAATTTTTTGGAAAAACAGTCGAATGTATTTTCTGGCCATCAAATGGCCAACTAGATAACTCAAAAAAAAAAGAAAATTCATAAATTATTTAATAATACTTCGATTATTTTAAAAACTACTGGGTGATCCATTTGAAATAACAAAGTTATGACCATATTAATTTGGCGAAGTTTGTCAGACAATTTTAAACTCCCTGTACATGGATTTTGAAAATACAGTCTAGTTTCATTTAGTAGTATGTCTGGACATCATCGATATTCAATTTCAAGCTTCTAGCTGCATTATTAACAGAGATTTCACAGAAAATATATTCGACTGTTTTTCCAAAATATTTCAAAAAATTGTAATATCTTAAAAATGATGCATTTTTGGCATATGGTGTTATTATCAAAGTCTAGTTAAAAAAGGCCATAGAATTCAAAAATGAAGTTAAAAATAGCACTTTCCATGTAAAATAACGAAGTTGGTGTCAACTTCCGGTATAACCGGAAGTGTAATCAAAATGAAAATATTTTAGATCAATTCATATTATCCAAAAAATACTATAACCAAAATTTCAGATTTTTAAGTCTTTTCATTATTGAGAAACTTCTAATGAACGGTTATCGTGAAAAGCCCTGTATAAAAGACTAACTGTAGGCTGTAATATAAGATAATTATAGGCTAATAAAGGCTATTAATAGCGTAATAAATAGGCTTATTAAAAATAAAACAAAAACACAGATTTATAAGCGTAATTATCACATAAAACCTAATTATAGGCAAAATAGAGACCAATAGGATAATTATAAGATAAATTGTAGGATAAATAGAGGCTACTTAGAAGCTAATAAAAAGGCTGTTAATATCATACTAAATAAGTTATAATACGAGTATTAAACAAATAAACCATAATAAAGCCTAATTATAGGCAAAATAGATACTAATTGGAGTAGGTGAGTTGCGCCAACGAAAATTGACCAGGAAATTATGTCTGTATAATCCCTTTTCACAAAAAAAATTATCGATTTATTTTAAATTAATTTAATTTTTAAGTTTAATATTCTAAAATTATTAGGAATGACTAGAATCCTGATTTTGTTATTTCTTAATATTCATCGTATTTAAAATGGGATACAAATACATTACAAATGAAATACAAAGTTACATATTAGGCAAAAATTTATTTACAGTTTTAACAAAACAGTCAATAGTTATTTGGCCCTTATTTAAACTATAAAATTATTTAAACTCTTTAATTTTTAATGAACATCAATTTATCCTGTATTTTTTTAAATCGTTTTATCACATTTCATGGCGCTGTTAATTTTAATATACAGGGTGTCTCAAATTTGACGCCCGTCTTTTCGGTTTATGAATTTGAAATAAGGAGATCAAAATAAGATAATAATAATCAACAACTCAAAAACCAAAGACAAAATGCAAAATTTTTATTCTTTCGTTAACATTTATTTTCGTCTACTTATTCACAATGCGAAAGGACGGGCGACAATTTTGAGACACCCTGTATACATCAATTCGATAATCTATTAAATTATTGACAAATAAAGGTAAATTAGGATGCGCACTATAAAAATTATTATTACATTTTGAGTGAAACGACTCGCAAGCGTTTGTTGTTATACATACAGTGTGTCCACGGATGGGGTTGCCTATAGGAAAAAAATTTTTATTATTCATTTTACGACAAAAAGTCATTGTTTATAAAAATTTTTGCTTCTTTTAAAAATGAGAATAACACTGAAAAATCTTAGATTGGATCTACAGGGTGTTGTCAAATTAAGAAAACATGAAAATACCTCAAGAGGGAAGTACCATTATTTTTTATTTTACACAATTTTTTTATGAAAGAAAGTTGTTTATAATCTAAAATAAAGCCTGAATACAAATTTGCAAACTTAAATTCAAATTTAGTGTGTCCCTAGATAAAGTTGACCAGATAAGAAAAATGGTTATTATTAATTTTACGACGAAAAGCCATTCTTTACAAAAAAAATTAACTTGTCGAGAAAATGAAATTCACATATCAAAACATTAAATAAGACGTATAGGGTGTTAGTAAATTAAGAAAAAAATTTAAGAAAGATCGAAAGAATTATCTTACATAAAGAAAGAATTTATTTATTATCTTACATTATTATTTCCAAAAAATGCTTTTAATCTCTCTTTTAATGCTCTTTTTTTATAAAGAATTACTTTTTTTTCGTAAAATTAATAATCATTTTCTCCTCTGGTCAACTCCATCCGTGGACACACAAAATTGGAATTTTAATTTGAAAATTTGTATTCATGCTTTATTTTAGATTATAAACAACTTTCTTTTATAAAAAATTTGTGTAAAATAAAAAATAATGGTACTTCTCTCTTGAGGTATTTTCATGTTTTCTTAATTTGGCAACACCCTGTAGATCCAATCTAATATTTTTCAATGTTATTCTCATTTTTAAAAGAAGCAAAAATTTTTATAAACAATGACTTTTTGTAGTAAAATGAATAATACAAATTTTTCTCCTATAGGGAACCCCATCCGTGGACACACTGTATAATATTCATTTGGTGCATTTTAAAACAAATATTCCGCAAAAAAAATTACCAACTTCCTCAGATTCTAACAGCGGGAGACAGAAAAATAATCTAAAGTAGTTGCCGATATATTTGAATTTTTATTCTTATAATCGTTGCACAAACCTAATTTTTAAATTTTCCTAAACCATGCCTGTGCTAAATAAAACCGACAGCCTTATTAATTACCCTTTCAAAAAATCAATAATTACTGATTTGGGAAAAATTGCGCGAGAAAAAAAATGCATTTTAAACGATTAAATGAATCGCTGTAAGTATTATTACGACTTATCTGGCAATAAAAAAATATTAATGGCACATAATGTCGGTTTAAAAAACCATAATTGGTGAATAATTGCAAAAAAAAATTGTGCAATACTCGAACGTTCCATCCACGTACCAGATATCCGCTAATTTAAAAAAAATTATATTTGTATTGCATGAAAATATTCTCTTATTATACTATTCTCTTATTTTTATCCGAACAAAGTAGAAAATCTTAACCCTGATTGGTTTTCATCTCCATTGTTTGTAATTCTTCAAACACTTCCGACATTTTTTTGGTACTTTGAGCAGAACTTTTCTTCTATACTTGGCGCGTTTGGAAGACGGAGTAATAAAAATGTCAGGCGGTTCCAAAATATCCCTACCCCTGTACGGCAAAATCCTGTACATTGATCGATTCGATCGATCGAAATTTCGCAGATCGCCTACAATTACTCAAAACCATTCACAGAGTATCAACTTTAAGGCCAGCAAATGCGGAGTGAGTGATACCGGCGACTCGTTTACACCCCGGGTGGACTTCGGCTGATTAATGTGTTTATTACTCCGTCTTCCAAACGCGTCAAGTATAGACACGTACAGGTTGTGTCTAATGTTTGTTAGATTCGTATTCTTAAACTGATCTAAAAACAAAAAATACTATTTAATGTTATACAGGATGTCCCAATGAAAAGTAGCCCCTTTAATGAGCATTTTCTGCCATATTCTTAAATAACTCGGTTTTACAAGTTGGACAAAACGGATTATTTAAGAATAATGCAGAAAAGTAAGTTTTGAGTAAAATTTTTAATATAATCAAACCTATTAGGTTTAGGTATAGGGAAGTAAACATGAACTTTCCTTATTTTTCATCGCTGATTTCAATAAATTAGAAAAAAAATGGGTGGTTCCATTTAAAAAATGAAATAATTTGGTATTTTTGAAGTTCAACTTTTCACATGTTTTGTATGCACCCTGTATAAAATAAAAAGTTTTTAACACAGATTCAAATACCTTTGACCTTGCTGGTCGCCACCCTACAGAAACCGTATCCATATCTTTAAAGGAATTTCCGTAAAAAAATAATTTATAAGAGTCTGCATCGGTCAAATTTTTCAAAAAAAAATCAGTAACTCAAAAAGTATGCATTTTTGAAAAAAGTTTTTTAGACAAAAGCACTCTAAAATTTTGCATACATTTCGAAAATATATTAATATACGGGTAAAATAAAAAATAATGGTACTTCTCTCTTGAGGTATTTTCATGTTTTCTTAATTTGGCAACACCCTGTAAATCCAATCTAAGATTTTTCAGTGCTATTCTCATTTTTAAAAGAAGCAAAAATTTTTATAAACAATGACTTTTTGTCGTAAAATGAATAATAAAAATGTTTCTCCTATAGGCAACCCCATCCGTGGACACAGTGTATTTCAGAAAGCATCTGTTGTATTTCAGAATAGTCAATTTGATTTCAGAAATCATCAATTGAATTTCAGAATAGTCAATTGTATTTAAAAAATTATCATTTGCGTTTCGGAAAGTGTCGTTCGTATTTCGGAAACCATCAAAAGGATTTCAGAGTCCCATTTGGAATGCAGAAATGATATGACAATTATTAACAAAGAAGAAAAACTCAGTCCACTCCACAATTTATATTATTTCTTCGGACTTGAAACAACTTCTCTCCGGAATTGAAATATTTTTTTTATGAAATCGAAACTATTCTTCTGGAACTGATCCTTTATATTCTTTTTTGAAATTGAGATTGAAAAGCTATAGATATTGAAGAATTCCGATATACAAATGATGATTTCTGAAATGAATTTGACTATTTTGAAATTCAAATGATCGTTTTCGAAATCGAACTGACTATTCTGAAATACAGTGCATTTCTTTAATGTCCCCCCCCCCCCTTTTATTTTTTGAACGGATCAACTTAGAAAATTGAAATTTGGGATAATGAAACTAATGCATGATTACTATATTTTGGAGTAAAATTGACAGATGAAAATTTCAAGATGGCGACTGGGCGCCATCTTGGGAAATAAATTTAAATGGAAAGGGGGGTCTTGTGATACATCATTTTGAAGCTCCTGACAAATACTCTACAACCCTGGAATATAAACTCAATATCTGCATCCATTTCAAAATGGCGGAACATTTATTAATTACCTGAACATATCGACGTTTAACGTCATAATTTGAGGAAATAAGCTGAGTTTAGTTTAAAACAAGCTCGAAATGGTTACCTTGAACTTCTTAATGTAAGAACAGCCTAACCGAACATTTTCGAACATAGTAACGTCGATATTTTTACAAATATCTGTAATTATTTCTCGTATATCCAATTTTGAAGCAGCTTTAGTTTCGTACACATTTTGCTTCAAATAGCCCCATAAAAAAAAGTCTAAAGGTGTCAAATCTGGCGAGCATCAGGCTGGCCATTCCGTAGGACCTCGACGACCAATCCAACGACCAGGGAAAATAGCATCCAAATAGTTCATTACTTGTCTGGAGTAATGTGGTGATGCTCCATCTTCCAATGGACGAGAATTTGCCATTTTAGAGTTAGTTCACGTGGTACCTAATTACAATGAGAACTAAACAACTGAAAACTAAATGAAAATACTTTGAACACCAGGAAAATCGAAAACTAAAGAGAATATTTTGAACACTAGGAAAACCAAAAACTAAATGAGCATATTTTGACTAAACAATTAATGTTCGTTGTCGTACTTAAATTTTTTGGAATTTTTTTAACCAAAAATAACCTGTCAAACCTTATCGGTTTGCTGGGATTGCTGTTTGCCATAGAAAAACAAATATTTCTAGAAAAATTTATATTATTTTGTTTGTATTCAGGTAATTATTAAATGTTCCGCCATTTTGAAATGGGTGCAGATATTGAGTTTATATTCCAGGGTTGTAGAGTATTTGTCAGGAGCTTCAAAATGATGTATCACAAGACCCCCCTTTCCATTTAAATTTATTTCCCAAGATGGCGCCCAGTCGCCATCTTGAAATTTTCATCTGTCAATTTTACTCCAAAATATAGTAATCATGCATTAGTTTCATTATCCCAAATTTCAATTTTCTAAGTTGATCCGTTCAAAAAATAAAGGGGGGGGGACATTAAAGAAATGGACTGTATAATTGATGCTTTCTGAAATCGAAATAACTTTTCTGAAATACAATTGATACTTTCCGAAACATAAGTGACTATTAGAAATTTAATTGATGCATTCTTAAATGAACCTGACGCTTACTGAAATACAGTTAGAGATGGTGAACTTGGAATTATCTCATTTTCAGTGTTGTTAAGTAATTAATTACAAGTAATTGAAAAAGTAATTGAATTACTTTTATTGTAATTGATGCGGTAATTAATTACAAGCTCCTCAATTGTAATTCATTTGTAATTCAATTACTCCTTTCGTTACAATTACAATTACATTTTACAATTACATTTCAATTACATTGGACACAAAAGTACTTATTTAATATTTTCAATACGTGGAAAGTTTAATTTCGATTGCAAATCCCTAAATAATTATTTAAAACTGACACCAAAGCAAAGTAATTGTGAGTGTAATTGTAATTGTATTTGTAACTTTAATTGTAATTGTAATTACATTCGCAAATTTTGTAATTGTAATTGCAATTAATTACAATTTGCCAAAAGTAATTGTAATTGTAATTAATTACATATTATAAAGTAATTTTAACATCACTGCTCATTTTGTATTTGTTTTGGGCGGATTCGTGGTGACAGAAATTGATTGGTTCCGAAGAAAATTGTATCACATTAGAGCAGGTATATTGGCGCAAATCACCCAGTTTTTAATCCTCAACCCTTCGTTCGAAGGATTAGAGCAGGTATATTAGCGCAAGTCACATGCGACCATACTAATATAGGCTATTTATAGGCTTAATTAGAGGCTACTTAGAATCTAATAAAAATGCTCCTAATAAATATGCTATTTGAGGAATACAAAAAAACACAATGAATCCTAATTATCGGCAAAATATACAGGGTGGTACCCAGAACTCGCGCCCCACCGGGAAATGTATTATGGCGGAAAGGTATTATGGACAATAGACGCCGAAACTGCAGCAAAAGATATGAAAAAATTGTCTCATTTTGGTAAATAAAGAGGTTGAAAATCGACCAATACCAGTACGAAAAAAAAGTCTTAAAACCACCAAAAATCTTTTGCTTTAAAGCAACAGCAGGGTCCTCGAAGCAAAACCTCGCGACGATGACGATGACGACGACGATAGTTTAATAATAATAATTTTAACGTGCACCAGAATTTTAAAAGTAATTTTTTGTATGAACGGTTCACTTTACGGAAAATCATCAAGTATACCTTTTTTATGTAGAAAACTTCATTTTTTCATATTCTTTAAACAAATCGTTAGAAAAGGTTAAAATAAAAAAGTTAGGTTACAATTACCCCACGACCCCCCATTTTAACCCACCCCTGGATAACTTTTTTAACCATATTGTATGGTGCATTTTATTCGCTCAGTATGTGTACCAAATGTAAACTTAAAATGTACTTAAAAAAACTGATGTAAAACTACTCTAAAAACTGCTCAAATATCCCTAAAAAATTCGCTCAACAACTGCTCAAATATCATTAAAAAATATATCATAATTCTCTCCAAATCGTTCAAAAGCTATTCTCAAAACTGCTTACAAATCACTCCAGTCTGTTTAAAAAACTCAAAATAGCTCAAACGTACTCTAAAAACAATATTTGATCAGTTTCAAGATCATATTCAAAATAGCTCGAAAAGTATTCTAAAACCTTTCAAAATCGCTTAAAGGCTACTCTCAAAACTGCTCACAAATCACTCCAGTACAAGACGTTTTAAGAACGCTCAAAATAGCTCTAAACGTACTCTAAAAACTGATCAAATGTTGCTCAAAATCATCTTCAAAATAGCTCATAAAGTACCTATTCTAAAACCTTTCAAAATCGCTCAAAAGCTACTCTCAAAACTGCTCACAAATCACTACAGTCCAAGACGATTTAAAAACGCTCAAAATAGCTCAAAACGTACTCTAAAAACTGATCAAATGTTGCTCAAAATCATCTTCAAAATAGCTCATAAAGTGCCTATTCTAAAACTTTTCAAAATCGCTCAAAAGCTACTCTCAAAACTGCTCACAAATCACTACAGTCCAAGACGATTTAAAAACGCTCAAAATAGCTCAAAACGTACTCTAAAAACTGTTCAAATATCACACTAAAATCATCCTATAATAGCTTAAAAAGCACTCAAAAAATAGCCTAAATAAAGCCTAATTATAATAGACTATTTCAAAAAAAAATCTTCAATAAAATCGCTTAAAAACTACAGAATAATGTTGAAAATTCGGTCTTGAATAAAAGCATCGAGGTTTTTACCGCTTCATTAAAAAATTGACCAGTTTCACTTTAAAGTGCGAATATTTACGCAAGTAAATTTATATTACTATCTCTATCTATTTTACTATATCTATAAAAGACTATCTCTTTCTCTTGTTTTTACGAGACCGTTTTTTATCAGCTGCTTATCTATCGACTACGATATTCGCTTAAATAGAATAAATTGGTTTTATATTCTAATAATTAATCAGTCGTTATTATTAACGTTATTAATATTTAACTAATACCACGAGACCTATAAAATTATTCAATATTAATTAACATTAAAAATTAGAAATAAAGGTATTTTATTTGAATTAAATAATAATTTATGAGTCCTAGTTAATGTTCATTTCGCGCCACTGGTAAAAAAAATTAAAATTAGTCATGGTCAGTTATTGATCCCAACGAATACTCAAAAACAACTTAATTATCAATCAAATATCTTACAAAAATAGCTCAAAATGTACTCTAAAAACTGCTCAAATATCACACTAAAATCATCTTATAATAATGTAAATCAAGCTAGCACCATAACTCATTAATAGTCTATTTAGAGTCTAAATATAACAAAAAAAAAACTTCTAATTTTCCTAATAGAAAACACAGCCAATAATTTACATGAGAACCTTCTGGAATTGGCTCGAATATAAGCAAAATAAGTCAATTTAACATAAAAATAGCCAATTTATAACCTAATATAACTCATTAATATCCTATTTAGAGCCTAAATATAACCAAAATAAAATTCTAATAGTCTTTTTCCTAGTAGAAAACAGCCAATAATTTACAAGAGAACCTTCTCGAATAGGACCGAATAAATGTACAATAAGTCAATTTAAGATAAAAAAAGACTATTTATAACCTAATATAACTCATTAATAGACTATTTACAGCCGAAATATAACCAAAATAACTTTCTAATAACCTTTTTCCTAGTAGAAAACAGCCAATAAGTTACAAGAGAACCTTCTCGAATAGGCCCGAATAAATGTAAAATAAGTCAATTTAAGATAAAAATAGCCAATTTATAACCTAATATAACTCATTAATAGCCTATTTAGGGCCTAAATATAACCAAAATAACATTCTAATAGCCTTTTTCCTAGTAGAAAACAGCCAATAATTTGCAAGAGAAACTTCTCGATTTGGCTCGAATAAATGCAAGATGTCAATTTAACTTAAAATAGCCTATTTATAACCTAATATAACTCATCAATAGTCTATTTAGAGCCTAAATATTGTATGAGAAACATTCTAATGGTCTTTTTCCTAGTAGAAAACACAGCCAAAAATTTACATGAGAACTCCTTTCACTATATAACCTAAAAATAACCTATTTTAAGCGCGATTTAACACATACATAACTTAATATAGTCTAAATATAGCATAAATAGTGCTCAAAAAGGTTAAAAAGTGACTCACCTCAATTCAATTCTCTCCTTTTCACTCATTCTTCCACTTTTCCATGAAGATCCAGAAGAATCCGAAGTCTCTGAATGGAATAAATTCCTTCCAGAATGTTCCCTGTTGAACGTAGAAGGTTAAATTAGTTTCTAATTAGCCTAATTTAGTCTCTGAAGGGTTTTTATTTGGAATATTAGGGTAAATTGACTCACTTTTTTGTGCTCGAAGGGTCCCCAAAACAGCTCGAAAAAACTGAGAAAATGGCGAAAATCGAGGAAATTACGCAGAAAATCAATCGGAAATTGTTAAAGAGCATCTTTTTCTGATGAATTTAAGCTATTTTGCGTGGTTTTTGTGCGATTTTCAGACGTTTTTCGGGCTCTTTTCGAGCATATTGTTCCAAAGCTCTGCCACAAAGATTTTTTTCTTCTTTTTAAATCGTCTTTTTGGTATTTTGAGTAGTGAAAACGGCAACTTTTCGGCGCATTTTCGTTGAAAAATTAAAAATTTCACTAAAATTTGTCGATTTTCTGGCGATTTTCCGAGATTTTCGAGGAATTTTGGATGGAAAACAGTGAAAACACTCGAATATATTGCTTATCTGGTCAAGTTTTTGACACTTTTGATAGTTTTGACATTTTTGACAGATTTGACAGATTTGACAGATTTGACACGTGACTTGATGAATTTTGGAGATTTTTATAGATATTTACCAGAAATTTGAAGTATTTTCAAGTATTTTTGTATTTTACATAAATTTAGAAGGTATTTAATCTATTTAATAAGTCATTAATGAAAAATAAGAGTGAAAAATATTCTACTTATTTTTAATGATATCTGGCCTTTTATTGGTAAATTATTCGGTACACGGGAATATGGAAGAGCGAGGATTGTGAAATAAAAGTAAAGATATCTCAGAAATTTGTGTTTGTTTTTATAATTTAAGAGGGGCGTTGAGTTTTGGTAACCCAATTTCAGTTGGCAGCAATGAAAATAAGCATGATTTTACTGCATACAAATCTCAATTTTTACTTAATTTTGAGATATATTCTGAATCGCAACTGATAGATTGAACCTTCCTCTAGGCCATAAAGGATTTTTTTGAAGAACTATGCATAAATAACGAAATTACAAGCATTTGAAGGTAGACATTTTTCAGTTTTTTTTTCTAACGGACGAATACCAAACTCCTTTATGGCCTAGCGATGGGTAATAGAAACGTATTGTGAAAATTTGGTAACGAAATTCTTTATATTTTTTGAGATTTGTACACCGAAAAGTCTGGATTTTGGAAAAAACTTCATCGATTTGCCGCTAGGGGATACCGAAAATGATACGTTTATGTATGTTCTTTGATTCTTTGGACACTTTGGTAATGATGGTTGCATACGCTCAAGTAAATATGAGCTTTAGGAGGATAAAAAAAGGGTTTTTCATGAATATACGATATATGTGCACTTCTCAAAGCACACTGTTTGTATTATAATAGACAAATTTAGGAGAATTGAGGAAATTCAAGCGAAAATTTATTGTAAGTGTCATTGCTGCCAACAAAATAGAGTATTTGACGTAATAGACATGACATAAGACATAAGACAAAATGTCAAATTGATTTTTAGGAGGTTATGTTTACGTTACCATATTTACATTTGCTATATTATACTTTATCGAGTTATTACTTTGTAGTTGCAATTGAAATTGCAATATACAAACAATAATTAATTATGAAGATACGTTATTATATTTGGATATCATGCATTTATTAATTATTTTGTAAAACAATATTCGAAGATTGATTGAAGACTAGAATGAAATCAAAATTTATCACAGCGTGCACTATTAGGTATATTTTTCATATTCATCATTGGCATACAAATTTAGTATTGTATTTTTTCTTTTCCAACTTTACACTTATCAGTTATTAGATATGATATGACTTACGTTCAATTTAACTATCATGCTAAACTTGTTGTACCTGTAAGGAAAAGAATTCAAACATTTCATTTGTGTAAATATGTTTATTTTAATACTACTTTAACAATTTTGATATACAAGTTGATATACAAGTTTCATCGGTCGACTTTTCTTCTCTTCTTCTATCTTCGGAATATAATGTTTTATCGGGTACCTCATGGGGCAGGTTGATGATCAAATCTATACTTGAATGGTCCTGCACAGGTCTCCACCCAAGTCCTACGACCCCAGAGTGGCTGTACTAGAACTATTTCACTTAGGCCCGGTTGCTCGTACGCGAATCAAAGTCAGATCAACTGATCTCGGATCAAAGTCGGACCAATAGTTAGTCCTGGAATAGGGCGGCCATATTTGATCCCGATTTAATCTCGGCTTAATCCCGGATCAAAGTTGATCCGCGTACGAGCAACCGGGCCTTACAATTTCATCGGAGGCATTGTCATTATCGGAGTGTGTGTTCGGAGTACTTATTGTATCGGGCATTTATCAATATATTCGATCGTAGAATCGCATCTCTCATTTTGTCGCCTGCATGTACTTTTACAATATTACATAGGTATATACAATACAATACAGGGTGTTCCAATAAAAAGTACCCCCTTTAATTAGCTAATAATTTTTAAACGCCTAATCATAAAAACATGTGGTTTTCTTAAATATGTTTTATTTTATTATAAGTTTTGTTACAGTGATACAGAAATTATGCCTCCTCCTTTAAATTCACAGTAACCAAATTAATTTAAATGGAACATCCCGTATATACAGAGGTATTTTAAAAGATACACTCTTCTACTTTTCAAAAATATATTATTTGTAGATATTATTCTACAAAAGAAGACGTCCTATTTCATAAAATTTAGTTATTGCGATTTTAAAAGAGGGGTCTTTATGAAACATCCTGTGCAGGCGATACAAAATTTTTGTCTCACTGCAACAAAAAGTTATAGAAAAATAAATAATATATTTGTCAAAACCGCATGTTTTATCATCATTAGGCGTTTAAAAAATATTACCTCACTAAAGGGGCTACTTTTCATTGGGACACCCTGTATTTTAATGAACACTATATCATAATTACATGATTTTTAGTAATAAAAAATGTTTAGTGATTTTTACCTAATACCATTGTAATATAGGTACCACTCGACAAAGACTGGTCTTTCTAGCAATGATTGTACGTCTATTATTAATGTATCTTTGTAATTAATTATAAAAATTAATTAATAAAATGTTTCAAATTTACATAATTTATAGTTTACAAAGTTTGCAATAAGAAATTGAAATATAATTAACTAATAAACTATATAATATTTATATAGTCATTGATATTTGAAATAAAATTTGCAAATTAATACCTACTTATACTTATATCAAAAATGAAATTTGCAAATTCTAAAAGCAAAATTGCATCTTCGCCGCTACAAAAATAGAGAGAATATTCGCCAGAGTGTTAGGGGTCGAAAACGATTAGACGGACAATCATAAACGGCTACCTGCTTATGCAAATTTTCTTTATTTACAATGCGACAATAACAATACATTTACTTTGAAAATAGTCTCTTAGATCCACTGCACTTGCGCCACCTGTTAGAACATTTTCTGAAATATCACTGGTTAAAAACCTGGCTAAAAATTTAATTTTGAGACAGCTAACGCCATCTGGTTCAATTAATGAAACTACAAAAAATTACTAGATTCTAGGGGCGATTGGTACGACTGATGAAGTGCTCAACGCCCCTCTTAAATGAGAAAATGGTAGAGAATTTAATTTTCTATAAATTACTGAAAATTTAATAACACTATCTCAAAGCCTACTCGAGTTATACAGTGCATTTCTTTAATGTCCCCCCTTTTATCTTTTGAACGGATCAACTTAAGAAAATTGAAATTTGGGATAATGAAACTAATGCATGATTACTATATTTTGGAGTAAAATTGACAGATGAAAATTTCAAGATGGCGACTGGGCGCCATCTTGGGAAATAAATTTAAATGGAAAAGGGGTTCTTGTGATACATCATTTTGAAGCTCCTGACAAATACTCTACAACCCTGGAATATAAAGTCAATATCTGCACCTTCTACAAAATGGCGGACATTTAATAATTACCTGAATACATGGAGGTTTAACGTCGTAATTTGAGGAAATAAGCTGAGTTCAGTTCAGAAAATGCTCGAAATGGTTGCCTTGAACTTCTTGACATAATAACAGCCTATCCGATATTCCACGCCGAACATTTTCGAACAAAGTAACGTCGATATTTCTACAAATATCTGTAATTCTTTCTGGTATATCCAATATTGAAGCAGGTTCAGTTTCGTACACTTTTTGCTTCAAATAGTCCCATAAAAAAAGTCTAATAGTGTCAAATCTGGCGAGCGGGAGGGCCATTCCGTAGGACCTCGACGACCAATCTAACGACCAGGGAAAATAGCATCCAAATAGTTCATTACTTGTCCGGAGTAATGTGGTGTTGCTCCATCTTCCAATGGACGAGAATTGGCCATTTTAGAGTTAGTTCACACGGGTACCTAACTACAATGAGAACTAAACAACCGAAAACTAAATGAAAATATTTTGAACACTAGGAAAATCGAAAATTTCTCGAAAAATTGATATTAATTTGTTTGTATTCAGGTAATTATTAAATGTTCCGCTATTTTGTAATGGGTGTAGATATTGACTTTATATTCCAGGGTTGTACAGTATTTGTCAGGAGCTTCAAAATGATGTATCACAAGACCCTCTTTTCCATTTAAATTTATTTCCCAAGATGGAGCCCAGTCGCCATCTTGAAATTTTCATCTGTCAATTTTACTCCAAAATATAGTAATCATGCATTAGTTTCATTATCCCAAATTTCAATTTTCTAAGTTGATCCGTTCAAAAAATTAAAGAAATGCACTGTATTAAAAAAAAACTATTCTAAACACGTATCATTTGAATCAAAAATGCCTAAAAAACTCAAAACTTATTCATTTTTTAAAATTTTCAAAATGCAAAATTGTGGAGCAAACTTTTTTTTAAATATAATGAAAATTAGGTTTTTCAAAATCGTCAATACTTTTTGAAATAATTGTGATTTTCTTATAATGTTGCACTAGAAATTAAGCACTTTTCTGGGAAAACGTCACAATATAAAAATTTATCTCGAAAATTTCTGGTTTCCTCGAAATTATCCAAGTTGTAAAATTGTAAAGAAATCTTTTTTCTAGAAAATGATGAATGAATGAATGTTTTAATTTTTCTACCTTAAATAGTTTTCGAGGTAATTATGTTTTTTGGGGAACAGCACTAAAGATAAATTGCGTTTATTTTTTTTTTCGAAAATCAAAAATCTCAAAAATTTGATATTTTTAGAAATAAAGGTAAATTTTGCTTCTACTCAAAAATCATAAAATATCTCCAAAATTTGTAACATTTTCAATTTTTTTTTCAAACGAAAGAATTGTAGAGGAAACTTTTCTCAAAAAAATAGTAAAAATTTGTTTTTTTTATCTCGTTTTAGTTTTCGAGATAATTGGGATAGGTAATTTCTGCAATTGCACTAAATAATTCGTGATTTTTATTATATGAAAAATACTTGGAATTTTAAGTAGATTTCAAAGGTACGAAAACGAATACACAGAGTGTTCCATTAAAATATCCATCCAAAAAAATATTCTTTTGATCGATAACTCAAAAACGTGATGCTCAATTATCTTTCGGTTTTCACCATTGTAATCTGCTAAAAAAATAATAATATAGTTTGTTAATTTAACCGATGTCATAATTTCAAAATTATAAATGTTACCACTGACGAACACTTAATTTGGATAAACCTGTACACAGGGTGTTTTTTAATAACATGCTAATACTGAAGGGCGTGATTCTTGCGCCTTCGAAACACCCCTTTTAGTATTAGCATGTTATTAGAAAACATCGTGTATATTAAAAATTTTTAATTGGCTCATTAATAATATATTGAACTTCATCACCTCCTTCTTAATTATTCATCCGGTAGCCATCCTCACCAATCCTAGTTTAAAAATGTACAAAACCGAAAGGACTAGAAGAATAACATGAGAATTTGTGTTAATTCGTTAATATTTTAGTAACCACACCGAGATCCTAGAAGAATTAAACACTTATATCAGATGCCTTAGCCTTCAAAAAGCTGCGATTTAACACCTTTGGATTATTTTCATAGGTTTTCTTGAGTCATTGATTAAATGATTATATGTAACCTCTCAGGTAATAAATATATTTCTGCGCATAGTTAACTATCGCCGAAACAGAATCAGAGACATCAGAGGACTTACAAACCAACATAGACGTGATATTAATGAAGATATACTGCATAAAGTGACCGAAAATAAAAATATCATAGTTGAAAACATTCAAATAAAAAATACTATATTTTTTCCGTATTTAATTTTTATTTAAAAACAAATCATTCTTATTGGGGATAGCATTTCTTGCTTTCCTGGTTTTTGTAAAAGGTTTTTAGGTTTATAAACAGGCTTTTGGTTTTGTTTTGAATAGTTTACATGCTGTTCCTATGAAATCATCCATCGCTGCTTCTTCGATATTATCATCGGTTTTATCGTTAAATAGTAAGTGAGGAACGCCTTTAAGTGGAGGTTGCAGGTTATCCATTCGTTTTTCATAAGCCAGTAATAACTTATCGCCTTCTTTATCAAGGCAAGAGTTTATTTTATCCCATGAAAGGTTGCTTTGCGCAGCGCACTAAAACATTTCTTTTAATCGAATGTGTATAAAAGTGGCGATTTACTTACTTTCTTGGCAAGTGCATCCTCAAATTCTTTGCTTCTATCCATATCAGAATCTTTCAAGTAACAATTTATAAATTCCATCATCACTGACTGAGTTTCGCTTAAATGAATGACGCAAGCACTGATTTTGTTAATTTGACATTCCAGTGGTCCATGGTAACAATGCCATTCAATTTTACTGTTATTGTATACATGCTGTAATTAATTATTTTTAACAAAAACCGATTATTGCATCTTATTACTTACTCTTTGCGTTGGTGACAGGTCAATATCTAACGCACTTCCTAGTTTCTTAAAACCTGGATAAAGTTGTTCATTTACGAAATCGTGGCAGTAAGGACAAAGCCCTTCAAAAAATAAAGTGACTTTTAGTCGTTCCTATAACAAGAACAATGCTTAATAACTGTGGAAATTGCAAAAAGGAGTAATGGAATTACCTGCGAAGTTACTGCAAGAGCAAATGCACAAATTAGAAATAGTTTTGAAAACATGTTGATCTCGATAACGCGAAACATGTAACTGATATACACTAAATTTTTGATGTCAATTTATAGTTACCAATTTATGTAAAACATTGAAATTTCCAATAAATTTAGATAAAAGTAACTGCATCATTGGAAATTCAAATTTGGAATGTTTTTTCTTAAAACCACTAGAGTGTCAATTGAAACGATTCTTATCTTGATAAAACTGTATACATTTTATTGACATTCTACGCAGGTAAACAAAACATACTTAATACTCATAAATTCTCATATAAATTTGATTTTTTTTATAATTTTATGTAATTCTATTCTCCTTAATTCAGACTTTCGTTTCAAATTTTTTTTATACAATTAAACAGCATTAAACCTAATTTTTTAAGTCAATTTATAGTTATCAATTTATGTAAAACATTGAAATTCCCAACAAATTAAGATAAAAGTTATCATTACAATTTTTAATTGTTTTTCTTAAAAATATACTACTAGAGGGTCAATTGAAACGATTCTTATCTTGATAAAATTATATTTTTTAATAACAATTTTTTACTATCCTATACAAAACATATTGGTGATTCCCAAAATTTTATATAAATTACCTTTCATAATTTGAAAAGAGCTATTCTTGGGCCACAAAAGTTTTGTTAGATTCACGTGTCGCTAGTAGAGCGCTTTTTTCGACATTCCGACAGAAATGGTTAAAAATTTAACCACAGTTTTTAACAACCATTTAAAAACAGAATTCTCCTACTTGGTTTCTAATACCATTGGAAGGACAAAGGCCGGTTTTTACCCCAAAAATAAGATTTAAAAACGGGAGACTCGATCGAAATAGGACAGTTAAATCTTCCATCTGAAGTAATCTTCTGGAAAGAACTACCCAACCACGACGAAGGTACTAGCGAAGACTGGTCAATGTAGTCACTGGTGGATTTTATTTTGCATTCGATTTTGATTTCCTGTCGGGTTACCTTCGAACCTAACAAAATGGTTGAGGTTGAGAAACGCTTGGTGTATAATCGCTACGCTATACCCGATTATCCTGTCGTTGCATTTTAATTGTGAGGTTGAGAAACAGATGCTGGAATAGCTGGCATTCAATATATTTTTTGTCAATTTAGTAAAAGAAGAATTCTTAATACTACTGAGAAACGGTCGGTGTAGATCGTTATACCCGCTATCGCTTACTTCTATACTTTACGAGTAAAGTTGAGAATCCTGTTTGTAAGTATAGGTAAGGAAAAACCTCCCTTTCCGAGATTCCCGACTTTTCAAATTTTTTAAACAGGTACTCTAAATCTTTGGTTATTTTATAATTTAAAGCGACGCGAGTTCAATAAGTAAAATTCATAGGTCGTAGATGATGACGTCATAGAGGTAACTAGATTAAATTAAAATTATCATAATTTAGAGTTTAATTTAAAAATTACCAAATATTTCGAGTGGTTAATGATAATTAATTAATCGATCTTTAATTTTCTACTATTATTTAGCAAAAAAAGTTCGACGACGTCATTGGTAATTAGATTAAAATTAAATTATAATATCAAAAACTGGACATTTTTTAATAAAACTGAAAATATCTCAGAAACGGTGACAGTTAGGTATAGGGAAATGTTATGAAAAATGATTCAGTAAGAAATAGGCTTCCCATTGGATATTATTAATATAGGGTGTTCCATTTAAATTAAGCGAGTAATTATTATGTTTGCGTTTTGACTCACCCTGTATACAAATTGTAATTTTGTCAAAATGTAACTAATTTTTGTGAACATAAAAATGGCCATAACTTTTTAAATACTCAGTATAGTCATATGAAATCTTATATTGAGAAACTCGTGAAAACAAGCTGAAATCGAATATGAAATAAAAATATATCATTGCCTTTAAAAAAAAGGTATGTTTGGTATGGCTTTGATTTATGGGCCACACTGTATATTTCGAAATAATTTTAAATTATGCGCCTAAAGGTGCTTAACATTTTTCCTATTTACCATTTTTTCGTATCTATTATAATAACTGAGTAAATGGGCTTTACCGCACTATTGGGACACCCTGTATGTGACTTTCGGTTATACCGAAAGTAGGCGTCAACTTCGTTTTTTAAAAGTACCATTTTTGATTTCATTTTTAGATTCTGTGAACTTTTTTAACTGGAATTTGATAATAGCATCATAGTAAAGTTGAGAAACGTGTTTGTAAAGTGAAACGCCGGGGTTTTCTCAAAAACCCTTTATTATCACAACACCAATAATCGCCATTATAATAGGTCGCCGATATTCGCCGTTCGCCGAATTGTAGTTCGCCACGCCAACGCCGGCTTGACACTGTCCTCCCAACCTCCCCTTGCCACGCGCGCTTACTCGCCTAAGCCGCATTCGCCGGTCACACTGACTAATCTATTCGAGATTTCCTATCGCCGTATAAGAAACCCGTTTTCGCAAATTTTAGGCATTTCAAAAGTATAGGTTAGGAAAAACCTCCCTTTCCGATTTTCCCTACTTTTCAAATTTTCTAAATAAATTAAAAGTTATATAAAATCTACACGACTACACTTGAAATATTTATAACACGAAACTGTTCATTTTTCCATTCCAAACCGCTCCATTTTGTGTCCGTTGATTTTACTAAGAAAAATCAAATTTTCCGAGAATAGTTCGTGGAACAAATCAAATAAAAATAAAAGAACTATTGGTTGCGTCGGCATCTTTATCCAAAAATAATTAAAGCCTATTTCTTGATAACCGCTTAAGTGTAGTCTCTAACATTTCAACCCCTAGAAGTACTATCTCCATCTGTAGTTACCCAGGCCCATCAACACCGAAACTTAAGGTAATTGGAGTAAACCACCAAAAATCTGGCGCCCGAGAAAACAACCGAAGACACTTGTAACAGTTATTCGGGAAGCAGCGAAAAGCGGTTACAATTTTGTGAGTTTTTCTAAAATATTTTCAACCATATAAAGGGTGTGTCACGACGAGCTTAAACTATCTGTATATTGGAAACTACTTATCCGATTTTAATAAAATTTGGTATACATATGTTATGCAATAAGTCGAAGAACCTCTTAAAAAATATTTTGACAGTGGTGCAACTTTCGGTTGTACCGGAAGTAGGCCTCAACTTTGTTATTTCTAATGGAACACCCTGTATATTAATATATTTTCGAAATCTACGTAAAATTTTAGGATACTTTTGTCTAAAACACTTTTTCCAAAAATGCATACTTTTGAGTTAAACATTTTTTTTTGAAAAATTTGACCGATGCAGGCCTTTATAAATTATTTGTTTACGGGGATTCCCTTAAAGATATGGAAACGGTTTCTGTAACGGGGCTACTAGCAAGGTATTTTATACAGGGAGTGTATAATAATTGGAGACGCTATTTGGAGACAATAATATATTGAACTTCATTACCTCCCTCATAAATAAATCCATCCGGTAGCCATCCTGACCAATCCTACCACTACTACAGTTTAAAAATGTACAAAACCGAAAGGACTAGAAGTATAACATGAGAATTTGTGTTAATTCGTTAATATTTTAGTAACCCTACCGAGATCCAAGAAGAGTTCAACACTTAGACCAGATTCCTTAACCTCCAAAAAGCTGCGATTAAACACCTTTGGATTATTTTCATAGGTTTTGTTGAGTCATTGATTAAATGATTAAATTTAACCTCTCAGGTAATAAATATACTGAGTGACAAAAGTAAAAGAACACCAAGAAGCAAATTTTATTTTTCATTCAAACTGTAGATAGTGTGTACAGCACCACGGTGTTGCAACACATTATTAATTTTTTTTAAGTTTTGTTGTTAATTTGATGAATTAATTTTAATCATTTGTTTACTTTTCTCTTATAAATGTAACTAGATTAAATGGTTAAATTTCAACAACTATTTTTTGGTGTTCTTTTACTTTTGTCACTCAGTATATATTTCTGCGCCTAGTTAACTATCGCCGAAACAGAACCGACACATCAGAGCACTTAAAAACCAATATAGAGCGTTGAATTCGCGATATTAATGAGGATATACTGCATAAAGTGACCGAAAATAAAAATGTCGTAGTTGGAAACATTCAAATAAAAAAATACTATTTTATTGGTGTTTAATTTTTATTTAAAAACATATCATTCTTATTGGGGATAGCATTTCTTACTTTCCTAGTTTTTCAAGAAGGTTTTTAAGCAAGCTTTTGGTTTGGTTTTGAACAGTCGACATGCTGTTGCCAGGAAATCATCCCTCGCTGCAAATTCGATATCTATATCGTGTTTATCATTAAATAGTATGGCAGGAACGTATTCAAGTGGTGGTTGTACTTTTGTTTTTCGTTGTTCATAAGCCAATAATATATTATCGACATCTTTATCGAGGCAAGAGTTTATATTATCCCATGAAAGGCCGTTCCCTGCGGAGCACTGAAACATTTTATTTTTAAATATTGAGTGTGTGTAAAAGTGGAGATTTTTTTTACATTCTTGGCAAGTTCTTCCTCATATTCCTTGCTTTTATCGTCATCGAAATCGCTCAAGAAACAATTTATATATTCCATCATCTTTGACTGAGTGTCGCTTACATGAATGGCACAAGCACTGACTTTGTTTATGTAACATTCTATTGGACCATGTTGACAAGTCCACTCAATTTTACTGCCATTGTTTTTCGGCTATAAATTGAATATTTGTTACAAAAAACCATTATTTCACATCTTATTACTCACATGTTGCACTGATACTAGATCTACATCCAAAGCATTTCCTAGTTTCTTAAAACCTGGATAAAGTTGTTGAATTATGAAATCGTGGCAGTAAGGACAAAGCCCTTCATAAAATAAAGTGACTTTTAGTCGCTCCTATAACAAAACCAATGCTTAATAACTGTGAAAATTGTATAAATGAATATTGAAATTACCTGCGAAGTTACTGCAAGAGCAAATGCACAAATTAGAAATAGTTTTGAAAACATGTTGATCTCGATAACGCGAAACATGTAACTGATAGACACTAAATTTTTAATGTCAATTTATAGTTATCAATTTATGTAAAACATTGAAATTTCCAACAAATTTTGAGATAAAAGTAATTGCATCATTGGAATTTTGGATTTTTTTAAATATACTAGAGGGTCAATTGAAACGATTCTTATCTTCATAAAATTATATTTTTTTAGTTTATTAGTTATTCATAATTTTATGTAGTTCTATTCTCTATAATTCAAACTTTCGGTTTATAACAAACATCTTTTTTTTACAATAAAACAACAATAAACTTTTCTTCTGAAAATCATCTAAATATTCACATCCTAACGTATCGGCACTCAATTAATTAACACCCTGTATCTGTATAGTAGTTGCTCACCTACAGTAGTTGCACTTCAGGGTTGGTGTTGAAGTCCCTGGGTAACTACAGATGAAGATAGTACTTCCAGGGATCGAGATTTTAAAGACTTTCCTTTTAAACGGTTATCAGAAATAGGCTTTAATTACTCCTGAATAACTAGGGAAGCTGCCAGTAGTTAATTAATACACAATCACGATTTTTAGTATATTACAAAAATAAATTCCTATATAGATACAAGTCGAAGAAAATAAAGCAGAAAAATGGAAAAGAAAAATTTAAACAAATTCAACAATAAAAAGCCCCAGCTGTGCATTAAAGCCTAAAAAAATTAAAATTAATTGTTTTCAGTAATAGTGTAATGAGCGGTATCAGAACTATTTAAAATTATTTATTTGCAGAGAACTAAGCGCAGCCGTGTAGATTTAAATGACTACATAGATTTCGTCGGCATTTTTGAGGAAAACTGTAGAAAAACCTTCATTCTTTGAACTGGTTCACCGAACGCCTTATCAGGGCGTTGAGGAGGCTCCATTCGGTCTTTAAAATAGGGTCGTGGGTTTTGACGAATTGTCTATAGACTTTACGTTTGTGGCGGATTAGGGTGAGGATAGAAGCGGGGAGTGGTCTGCTATTTGTGTTGATGATGGTTGTAGGGGTGGAAGGGAGGAAAATCCAATGGCAGAAGATATGAGAGAATGCATTTGTTGAGCCTGAGTTTCGATTTTCGGGATGGAAGAGAGGGTGGACTAAAGTAAAACAGGTTGGCGGAAATAAGGGTGTGGAATTTTTTCCAGTCTGTTTTTCGGTGGTTTCGAAAGGTTTGAAATTCAGGAGAAAGGAATGAGGGGAAAAAGTTTGTATTGGTAAAAAGAGGTAGGTGATTGGAGGTGATGGTGGGTCCTAAGTGGTACTCGTCGCCCAGAAATCCCGCACACGTATTAGTGTACCAGATGTGGTCTACGATAGAGGACCCCTGGTGTTCCAAGAACTTTGGGCTATGGTTATGTGAAGATTGGAAAGTCAAGGGGCAGACTGGAAAGAGTTATGCCGTTCCCATTGGTGACGTGGTTTCCAAATTCATTGTGTCAGGAATTTAGGTCTGGATAGTTCGACAAGTAAATGGTCATTCCAGTTACTCGTACTTAATCTCTGGTGTCCAATGTAGCATTGCGGGATCGATGTTCTGAAAGATACCCTAAAAGAAATACTACTGAAGGATAGAGTTCCCTATCGGACGAAGAAAATCCAGATTACCCTTGTTGATGGTAATACAATGTCACTTTCTGCCTTAATTTTCGAAACTACGGTAGTGTTACAGTGTAAGTTAAATAAAATTTCTCTTCTATCCATTTCGTCGCACACGCAAAGTCGAACACTACTAAGCGCGGATTTCTTGAGACAAGCTAATGTTGTTTTAGAGATTCTCAGGGTTATATGATACTATGGCAAATGTCCAGATGTCGGCTATGCTTTTACACGAGACACCGACCAAACGAATATCTCTCAAACAGTCGGATCGATTGTCTAACGCTGCTAATTGAAGATAATACTGACCATTTTGAAACTAGTAAAGAGTTGGTTGGAGTGTTGGATGATGGATGATTTGCCTATTGCAGTTCCACCTTAGACTAAAGAAAAAGCAACTGCGGGAAGAACTGGAAAGGCTATTGGAGAACTATCGAGCAGTGTGAATCTCCTCTGCCGACCATTGTACATCTATCTGTTGATTACAGGCGATTAAATTGAGTAACCCGTGCGGGTTGGTATCCCTTACCCCACATAGAGGATATCTTGCATGCGACCAAAAGAACGCAATTAATGACAACCTTAGACAAAACAGACAAAACAACTTTTGCCTGTCGTTTTGGGACTTTTCGTTATACCAGAATGCCATTCGGTCTCCGGACCAATTCTGCGACATTTGAGCGGTTAATGGACAAGTTCAGAGCTGGACTATAGGAGGTAAAGATTCTGGGGTATTTGGACGATAATATCATCCTTCAGTCTCCTGTTGTTAAAGGATACTTTAATGTTCTATTTTTTTTATTATGCCTTTTGTCTGTGGAAATAGTCACTATAATACAAGTCATATAAAACTGATAACAACAAAAGCTATTATACTTTATAAAAGTACGAGAGTGGTCCGATAAATACTTAGCCTACAAAAGAAAAACGAAAATTTTGGAAAAGTGGCGATTTATTTTTCAACATAGTCTCCTTGGAGATCGATACACTTGATCCAGCGATGTTCCAACTTCTTTAACCCGTCTTAAAAATAAGTTTTCTCAAGGCCTGCAAAGTAAGCCTCCGTGGCGGCGATAACCTCTTCATTCGAGTGAAATTTCTGCCCGGCGTGGGACTTTTTCAAATTCGGAAACAAAAAGAAGTCGCAGGGGGCCAAATCTGGAGAATAAGGTGGACGACGCAACAGTTCGTAACCCAATTCGATCAATTTGGCCATTGCGATGGCGGAGGTTTTGCGAAAACAAAACTACGAGTCCGATTCGGCTGAAATTTTCACAGTAGCCGTCTACTAGAATGTACTATACGGTAGTAAATTTTTCTTGTGATAGTGGCGCTAACTGGCGGTGAGGCTAAGTACTTATCGGACCGCCCTCGTATGTAGTAGCTGTAAGAACGTTTTTAAAGTTTTTTTATAAGACAATATAGCTCAACGAGCTATGAAGCTGTAGAAAAGCTCTTATAGTCAATTTCCAAAATAGTAGGCACTAAATTCTCGGAAATAATATCGCTTTAAAACGAAAACATTGTTGTCAGGTTGTGATTCTTAATATTTAAGTATCTTCTATTTAAATGATTTACAAGCTGCTAAATAGCCATAGAATAACTAACAACGTGTTTTATTCATTAAAGTATCGTTTTGCTACTTAAATGTATTTAATAACTACAATGTTTATTAAAAGAAATGCAAAAATTAAATAATGTTATGCGTCTCAAACTTATAAATGGCAACCTTGCGTTCATCGAGCTTTTTCTTAGGCGGAGAAAAGAATAACAGATTAAAGTTGCCGAAAGGTAGAGGGAGATGTACATATTAGCCGAACCGTTGACATAGGTCAAGTTAAAATTCATGAGCGTAACATTAAAATGCAGGTAATTAATATACACTTTTTTAACTGCATTCAATTCGATATTTTGTAATTTATAGTTAGATTTCAATTTTTGATTTAGTTCATCATCCGAAGAGTTTTCCTCAAAAGATAATGATTATTAATATAATAATATTTGTATAATAAATAATATAATAATATTTGTATATAAATATTATAATATTTATTGCATAATACTTGCTCTGCTAAATATTAGTCTCTTGCTGATTTTCCCGTCGAACAACCTTTGTAGCCTACGATATTTTCCGTACGCCACTGGGAGACATCCATTATCGCAAATTCTTCACATTCATTTCTGAGAATTTAGTGCCTACTATTTTGGCAATAGACTATATAAAGTTTTAAGACTTTCAAAAAATGTATAGTATATACACTGTGCTTCATTCCAGATCAACTGTTATTTTATTAATCTTTCTTTGTTCAACTCATAGAAACGACCATGTTGCGGTGTGAATTGAAGGATGTATGAACAATGTGAAAATTGTGAAAAATGAGTTATCTGAACAAAATGTTTCAAAAGAGACAAATATTTATATAGGAAAGGGAATATAACTTAACTGAGATTCTAAACCAGCTAATTTTCATATTTATGTTTTTTAGCAATCTTAATCTGATGACAGAATTTCAAATGTGTTTTCTCGAAACTAATATTTTTTAGATATACCCCTTTTTCCATGCACACGCCAATTATTTCGGCTGCGAGAGCAGTTTATAATGTTACTTAGGTTATGACAATTCATTTTAAAGGCATTTTGATATTAGAATATGATATTAGATAATGACATTAGAAATTTAACTTGATTTATTTATTTTCATATTATTCAATTATTCTTGGAGGGAATGTACCATAAATTACTACATGAAATGATATTTAAATTTATGTATTTTTTTGGCATTGCTAAGTGTACATTAATCATTTTAACGTGCAAAATATAGCGTACAACTTTTAATTAGATTACTTTCTTTGCCTAATTATTTAATTAGCGTTAACAATATTCCACTAAGTAATGTAACTCCTACAAATAAATTTTTACTTAAATTAAACATTTTGACTCATTCTAAATACTACAATACTAATAAATGTGATTCTTCTAACTGTCAATTGCACAATTTAAAACACAATTAAGTGCATATAGAAATTCTTAAAATTATGTGAGAAATATTATGGTCCATTTCTTGCCAGGCTGTTTCCTTAATTTTTTTTATCCAAATCTAATTGAAATTTTTAAGCAGAGCGAGTAGTGAATATGCTCGTTTGACCATCTGAAAAATTAGCCTTTTTAAATCTTATTTTATTAAATCCTATCTTATTAAATAAGGAATTTTCAATCAAATAGGATCAGACGGGATAATGTGTTACGAAGGCGTCAAATTATACAGGGTGATTCATTACGAAACGGGATCACAGGGGGATAAAAAAAACCCATATAGTATGGGTCGTACGCTCTTTATAACTGAGTTACAGGGCGTTTTTTGAATTTGGCCCATTTCCTTTAAGGATTTAAACTTTTGAATCACTCAGTATAATTATTTGATATTTTTCACAGATAATCTACACTTTTAGAACAATTTATCGAGCAACTAAAAAATTCAAAATCTAGGCCCGGCTTAATAAAAATTATTAAAGTTTGTCTAATCCTAAAGCAACACTTAAATAACATATTTAAATATTTATATTAAATTTTACGTACGAGAACAAACGTGTCCAATGATAAATCAATTAGTTTACCAGCCGTAAACCTAATGGGTCTTTTTGATCGTTCAATTAAAATCATTAGAGATCTTTTGGACTTTATGTCGTAGTTGTACCATTGACTTCTGAGAATGGCATCTCCGATTGTTGTGCTCTGAGAACAAAACTTGTTATTATAAAAAATTAATTGTAAATGTTATTGTACAGTTTCAGATACATGCATATTCCTTACCTCTTCCATCACAAGGGTACCAAGATTGCAGTATAAGTACAGTAAATATGTCATGGGAACAAAGAAAGACATAACGTATGCTAGATTCATTTCCAATGATTCCAACTAAAAAAAATCATAATAATATTATAAGTATTTTATCAACTCAGTCAAAAACACTAATAAGTTTTAGTATAGTATACTATACTATACTACACCTACTACTATACTATACTACACTACTATACTGTAGTATACTATACAGTGTGATTTTTTGAAAAGTATCCACCCCTGATATCTCCCCGTACAAATTTTTCCTGTAAAAAATCCAAAACACGTCAATTTTGTTTTTGAGGGGGACATCTAACCACCTTATTTTCAATCTCGATGTTTCACCCCCCTAGGCAGGGTGGTTACCCTTTTCGAGATATACATGGTTTTGAAGGCGATTCAATTCTCTCTATACTGGTGCATCTAAAATGAAAATCTAATCATCCGTTTTCAAACTATGATTTTTTTAAGTCTTTTAATCCGCAAGTAGATGTAAAAATGCACCATTTTCAAGTTATTTCATTTTTTTCGAATTTTTTTTGCTATTAAAGATACATACTGTATAATGTATTTTACAGTCCAGTTTCAAAGTATGTATTTTTGGAATAAATTATTTTAGACAGAGTATCTTTGCTTGGAACCCTTCCTTAAAATAATGTTTCAGTTAACCCGTCAATTGTCATTTACATTTGACATTAGTCAAAATTAACAAGAAATACTTATAATTTGTAATTATCGAGGTTGACAAAGATGCCAGACGACAGTTTAAAACTTAAGTATGTAACATTTTAGAAGGTTTTTATTTGTAAATAATCTATTAAACATAATCAAATTATAGCACGATGGAAGCATTGATACACCTGGTGAAAGGCAGCGTAGGAACTGGAATATTCGCAATGGGCGAAGCCGTAAAAACCTCTGGAATAGTAATAGGTCCTTTATTCATTTTGATTATAGCAGTAGTTTGCGTGCATTGCATGCACTTACTGGTAATTATGTGTCTTATGTACAGGTAAGTGCAAATTTGTACGCAATATGGTGTCTGTGGGTGCAGCAAAGACAACTTCCATTAGTCTTATATAGGAAGGAAAAATAGAGAATGATATAGTGGGATTGCAACTTTGTCACTTTAACAACTGTTAGTTTTAAAAATCTTGTTCCAGATTATTGACAAAATTTACCATATTGCCTTAAAATCTGCATAATATGGTATAAACACCTCCAATGTAGTTTGACAGTTGGAATATTTTATTAGTAGGATGCGCACTAGTTAATTTTAGATAGATGATAGAAAAGAGATTTTTATTGTAAATCCGTATCCTTAGATATTTATTATGTATTGAAAGTCTACGTCTTTCTACTATCTACTTTCTACGATTTTTAACTGTCTGGCTACATTCGATGAGGTATAGTTTCCCTACTCTACCTGACTCTACTTCCTATACATCACGCGATGTAGCTTATCTCTTCTCTCTCATCCCCGTTTGCGCAACGTCTGATGCAATCTTCAACTGCCTAATTCAATTTGGTAATACGTGTTAAATTCATATGATTTTATTATTTGTAGAATTTTGCAGTTTTTGGAGGTCCTTTGTACATGATGGTCTGCTTTTAAATCGGTCAAAAAATGGATCATTCGATTCGAACCACTTTTGAAGCAATAAAAAATTCTATACGGTTCGTATCAGCACGACAGAGCTCCTGAATGATCGATTTGAAAGCAAATCTTTGATCAATAGTCACAGCTGATTTTGGCAGGTTTTGTTAACCTTGAAAGTGAAAAGGACATATAATATTCCTACTGGGACTGGGATTGGTCAATTTTAAACCTCTTTATTTAACAAAGGAATAACTTTTTCATGTTTTTGGCTGTAGTTTTAGAATGGGAAAAATGGGTGTCGTTTCCATAAGGCATTTTCCGGTGGGGCGTGAATTCTGGGCCACCCTATATCTCGCAAACTAATTGTCGTAGAGACTTGCGGTAAAAATCTTTTTACTCAATTGGCTACAAGAAAATGCTGGTAACTATTTGTAAGTCTCTAAAATGGCCACTAGAGGGAGTATCCGCGATGATAATTTTTAAAAGTAATTTTTTCCCAATTTTTGCCAATGAAAGTAAAAGTGTATTAAAAGTGTATTTAATTTTGATAGTATTGATAGTAGAAATAATATAAATTCATTTTTGTCATACATTCTTAACTCTATCTTTTAAGGTAAAGTGGTGTAAATTTACAATTATTATTTTTTATATGCTTACTTGCCCAATGAGATATTATTTTATATGCTTGCTTGCCCACAAGAGGGCGTTTTCTGACGTTACCTAATGAAAACAACGATTTTCGAAAAAAAATTAAATGTAATGATATAACTGTTTTTGAGAAAAATAGTTAAAGAATTAAAACCGCATCTCGATATCCCCTTCCTAACCTAAAATATATCAAAAAAATGGAAAAAACAAGAAATAAGGCATATTTTTGTAACAACTTGTTCAAACCTATCCATTGGCAGATATTTCCAAGCTGCAATTTTCTTCTCCCTATTCCTTTTTTTCCTTCTTTAATTTTACCTGGAAGATATTCTTGTAGACTCTACTTTAATTTTAACTCAAACATATTCTTGTAGACTCTACTTTAATTTTAACTCAAACATATTCTTGTAGGTCACAACGGCTAATAGTTTACGAGACAAACATGGCGTCAGCACCAGTTTGGATTTCGCCAAAACATTGGAATTATCCTTTTTGCTAGGCCCACCTCGATTAGCCAAGTACTCCGTTCACGCGAAGAATTTGGTATATTTTTGCATTATTATATCTCAACTCGGGTTTTGCTGTGTATATTTTATATTCATAACCGACAACGTTCATCAGGTGAGTGACCAATTTACCTGAGAAAATAGCCATATTTTTTTCATTCAATCACTTGACAAACTTATAGTGCTCATTCATTCACTTCTGTAGTAGATATTACACTTCATGATAATAAAGGTTTTTCATTCATTCTTCAATTCAAATCTACTAACAAAGAGTTTAAACAAAGAAAGATTATTAAAATGACTGGTTAGAGTGAACAATTGTAAGCCTACATATTTCTTTTCTCAATATATGGGACTAATGGAAGCTGTTTCCGTTGCACCCAATGGCTCGTATTCAGCGCCCCTGTTTAACTTTAACGTGACGCTAAATAGGCGTCTCGAGTCCCTAGTTACTCTATAACAACAATGTAAAACTGTCAAGGTTAACAGGCGTATTTAGAATCACTCTAAAGTTAAACAGGGGAGCTGAATACCGGCCACAGCCTATATTGCAAACAATTGTGCACTTGTATCTTGCAACCGTATACACCGTGTCCCACGTAACGCGGACATTAGAACTCTTCGGAGTTTTTGAAGTTGCAAATCTGAAAATTTAGGTGTAAGGTATAATCAATGTTAATGAGATTTTTTTTTAAATAATTTCAACCATATGCGATTTCCGGTTATACCAGAAGTAGATTTCAACTTCCTTATTTCAAATTGAAAGTACCATTTTTGACTTCATTTTTGGATTCTGTGATTTATGTGTGACTTTATGTTCAACTTAATTATACATATTTTAATTAAACCAGAACGAATTTAAGAAAATTTAATGTCCATTTCGACTTATTTTTTGACGATCTTTTCAAATCTGTCATTATTTTTTATGAACGTTATTTGGTAAAAAAATTAGCTTGCTTTTGACACTTTTGTACAGGAATCCCTATGTCGCATTTTATAAATAACATAGTGTATCCTCGAAAACTCATAAAACTCTTAAAAATCACTAAAAAATCTATGAAAACTAGTAAAAACATTTAATACCTCAAGAAATATTAAAAATCACTAAAAATTTATGAAAACTAGTAAAAACTACTATAAATACCTCGAGAAATTATGAAATATTGATGCCAAAAAAAAAACACTAAATACCTCTACAAATCATAAAAACCCTTTTCCATCAAAAACCCTTAGTTCATAGTGAATCCAGTTTATTTTCCAGTAAATTCTCGTGCCTTTTCTAGCATACCCTTTCACAATCACTGATAGTAAAGGTTTCACTATTTTCTAGTACCGCCGGCAACACTGCCGTTTTTATATCACTGGTTTACGTCTATTACAGGTAACATATTACTATGGCGTCGAAATCGGTGTACGCTCGATAATGGCCGGACTTTTCTTACCGGTGTTATTACCTTGCCTAGTGAGGAATTTAAAATACTTAGTACCCGTATCGATAATGGCGAATGTAATCATGTTTTTCGGCATTTTCACGGCGTTTGCATTCGGGCTGTACGATCTTCCCCCTTTCAGCGATAGGCGTTACGTGGGGGATTTGGCAACGTTGCCCCTCGCTTTCGGCACGACCGTGTTTTGTTTCGGGGGAATCGCCCTGATTCTTCCCATCGAGACACAGATGATGGTGCCTCGTGATTTTTCGCGCTGCGGAGGAGTTTTGAACGTCGGGATGACGTTCGTGGGGAGTTTATTCGTTCTGATGGGGTTCATAGGGTACTGGAAATGGGGAGAGGAGGTTTCGGGAAGTGTTACGCTGAATTTACCTGAAGATCAAGTGTAAGAATTTTTTATCGCTTTAGATATATTTTATAGTAAATTACGTACGGTTATTTTCAGCTTGTTTCAGGTGGTGAAATTATTAATTAGTGCAGGAGTGGCGTGTACGTATTGTTTGCAACTGTATATAGCCGTTGACGTAATGTGGCCCTTTATATTAGAAGGAAAATTGAGGGATAGTAAACATCCAGTGGTTTGGGAGTTATTATTTCGATCGAGTCTCGTATTATTGACTTGTAAGTTTCATACCTACTAAAATAGATTTAATTATGTCCTTCTTTTCAGTCATTTTAGCGCAGATTGTCCCATTCCTCTCGTTATTTTTATCATTAGTGGGTGCATTTTGCACTGCGGGACTGAGTCTCCTTTTTCCCGCTCTAATGGACCTGCTGATGCATTACGCAGACGAGAAGCTTACGATATATGTTATTATCAAAGATTCCATCATTTCCTGCTTTTGCATGCTAGGTATGCTATCCGGTACATTCGAAAGCGTTAGAGCGATGATAACGGCTCTCAGCGCGCCCGAAGAAGAAGAATTCGTTTTTCAAAACACGAGTTTCTTAATCAGCAATGATAATATTCATAGGTAGACTTTATAAGATTAATAATGTTATATGTGGGTTGTTTAATAATACTTTTATTTATTATCAACTTTATTAGAACTTTACATGTGCTTCTTTTAACTCCATCGCTCTGGGGCTGCCGGACCCGTGTCATTTGTCGTATACCGACTTCTACTTAACAGCTCCGGTAGCCAATACAACTAGGCAACTTTTATAACATCTCCCTTCTTTGAATAAACAAAACTCTTTAGCCCGTACTCAGCGCCTTACTTTAAACTTAAACATGGCTCTAAAGGGTCACTTTAAAGAAAACAAAGTTCCTAGTTACTCTACATGTTATAAATAAATGTTAATAACTTTTAAACGGCTAAACTGATATTCATAAAAATGAAATCATTGAAAAGGGCTTTCTTCGGTATATAATTTACACTATATAAAGTATTATTGCAAATAATACTTATCCGCAAGGGGGCGTTTCCTGACATCTGAAGATTCTGACATCTCTGAAGATTTATTACCTCAAGTTTCTACAATTAGTTTGCGAGATATGGCCGAGAGCCATCCTTATTTGGCCACCCTGTACAACTGTCAATTTAGAGACTAACTACAAAACATAAAAATTAGCATCTGAATAAAATATAAAAAAATCTTCAAATAAAAGTAACTTCTTAACAAAACTTCCAAACAACTCGTTAAGCATAATAGTCCCTTAAATAACTAGGGGCCTGTTCAATATAACTGACAAGTCCTGTTCGACAAGTGTAAGACCAGACTATCCTGGGGCAAGAGGCCTGTTTCATATAACTGATAAGTTTACTAATTACAAATGTTGGTTGACAAGTATTTAAAAATTTCGTTTCATAAAATAAATTTTGACACTTGTCAAATTAAATTTTTGGCATCCGTTTTTCTACAACTGTAATATTTAATTAACGTCAGACTTAAGCCAAAAAGAAAAAAGTAAGTACTCACTATACTGAGGAGCATAAGTATAGCACCACATTCAGAGAACGGTTTTGCCGGCCTAAAAAAATCGCTCAAAAATAGCTCTAAATCGTTCACAAGTCACACAAAAAAGTCGTTCTAAAGTCATCTCAAGAAACTACTTAAAAAGCTCTAAAAATTTTTCAAAAATCGTTCAAAATCTCTCTAAAAATAAAATTTTAAAATTGCTCTAACGTCGCTCAAAAATGGCACTAAAATCGTTCATAAATCATTCAAAAAAGTCGTTCTTAAGTAGTCACGACAAACTGCTTAAGAAGCTCTAAAATCGCCCAAAAAAACGTTCAAAATCTTTCTAAAAAATTCAAAAATAGCTCTAAAATCGATCATAAATCACTCAAAAATGTCGTTCCAACGTCATCTCACCAAACTGTTTAAAAAGCTATAAGAGCATTCAAGAAATCGTTTAAAATGTCTAAAATTAAAATTCAAAAATCTCTCTAAAATCGCTCAAAAAATACTTCTAAAATCGTTCATAAGTTACTAAAAAGGTCGTTCTTAAGTCAACTGCTTAAAAAGCTCTAAAATTACCTTTAAAATCGTTAAAAATCTCTTTAAAAAAATCAAAAAATCGCTGTAAAGTACCTCTAAAATCGTTCATAAGTCACTTAAAAAGTCTTTCTAAAGTCTTAACAAACTGCTTAAAAAACTCCAAAAATACTACATTACTAAAATACTTTTATTTAAGTTACAGGGTGTTTTTTTTAAATTAAGAAATTAATGAATTAAAAAAAATTAGAAAAGCATTAAAATCTGAATATATTGATAAACTTTTAATTTTTCCGCATGCCATATTGTACTACTTATATTTTAAAGTCAAAGTGTACGAGTATTTTTATTTATATTTGTGAGTTGTTTCTAAACATCGTGCAAATCCAAAGATGGTATTCTTTTTCTTATTATATGACTAGATGTTTACCTAGACTAGGTTTGAGATATTTAGCTCAAATTTGGTATATCATAGAGGGTATAGGGTATAATGTAAAAAGAAGGGTGTCATTTTCAACATTTGTTATTGTTAAACTTTATTTGATATATAAATATCTTTATTTAGACCTTCCAAATTACAACTCGTTAAACTGCAACGGCAGAAAGAAAAAAAACATCAACAAAAACAAAACAAAAACAAGAAATTGCCAGACACATCATCTATCAACTGTCATACACAAAGTGGTCTTTTACTGACCGGTAAACAAATAAATGTATCAGTTGAAGTTGAATATCCAATACCCTTCCTCAACTAATACGTTCTTTAAAAATTGTATTGATAAATTAAATGTATTATAATTTCTTGACGAAGTTATATTTCACGTCTACGTGTTTCAGTCTTTTACTAAGTCCGCCATGATAAGCCTCAGCGATGCTTTGTAGTAGTGAGCCAATCATGCTGCGGTGTTCCTTTTGGTTAATGACCTCACTCTCATTGTGTTTAACATCTTTATGATAACCTAGATCCATTGGATACTTGCTGCTTCTGGAATCAGTTATTTTATAGAAGTTTAATTTTTCTTTTAAGTATCCTTTTTGATGCAACAGAAATTCACCATTTTTACTCTGTTCTATCTAAATCCCCAGATAAGTATGTATTCTTCCGAGATTCTTTAATTTTACTTCTCTATTAGTGTTTGTTCGAAGTATGTATACAAATCCGCTGATGATGCGGCCACGGAAATATCATCTACATGAACTCCAAGAAACATTTCACCCTGTGAACTGTGGTACAGATACAGGCAAGGATCGTTCTCACTTTTTCTAAAACCGATATCCTGCAAAATCTCATTCCAATGTTTATACCATTCAAATGCTCCTTGTTTTAATCCATAGATACTACGATTCAATTTACATACCCTAACGTCGCCCTCTTCTGTGTGATAAGGTAGTTGTTTCATATACACCGTTGGAAAATTATTCGCGCATAATAGGGAAATCAATGTTAAATTCTTAGCCGGCTGAAATCCAGTCTACCAGTGTACATTTCAATAGAACGTCGCGATAAATTCTAATAAATTTAATTGTTCTACTGTACCGCACGACGCGATTTGTAGAGGTACAAAGTTATTTTTGTTAAGTATGAGGGGGGTAGGTACTAATTCTAATTTCTGTTTTGAGTGTGACGAATTTTTCTTTGGAAAAGGTAATTTAGTGGCCTTCTGCGTAGCACAAATGTTGCATTCATCGTCGTGATTACATGGATTGATAAACATGTCTTTTGCCATGTTCTTCTCTGCTAAAAGTTTAATATCGTTGATGTTCCGATGTCCCAAAATATGATGCCAGTCAAGAATATACCTTGGTTTATGAGTAACTTTGAATATCATTTGTTTCTCATTTGCGCGATATAACTTGTCTTCTAGCGTAGCTGTAAGAACCGTATCATTTCCTTTCCTTACGTAGCATCCTGATTCATCAAAATATACTTCAAGTCCCTTATTTGTAACACAACGTATGGACAACAGGTTACTGTCAAGTTCAGGAATATAAAGCACTTGTTGCAATAAAATTGGCTTCTCACAATCACATGGTTGCAACTTAACGGTACCGCTTCCTTTTATATCCAATTGCCTGCCGTCAGCCACTGAAACTTTGCCACGAACTGACTCCTTATAATTATAAATTAGTCTACGATCATTACACATGTGTGATGTTGCACCGGAATCCAGATACCAAACACTATTCTTTTGAGTCCCTTTGTTTACTTTCAAACATAAATGTACTTCTTCTTCTTTGCTTTGTCATGTTTCCCCGACTTGTTATCGTTGTATTTAAGCCATGCTGCATATTTTCTGCAATCTCTCTTCAAATGACAATTTCTCTTACAGAAGAAACATTCTATTCCATTTTCTTATTTGAATTTGTCTGTATGATGCTTTGTTTTATTTACCGAATAACCTTTCTTTGTTTGTACTGCGTTAGCAATTCGTCGATCTGCTTCTTCCAATAACTTGTCTCTAATGTACCCTTGAGTTATTTTATCATCAGGCTGATTTGTCAATGACATAATTAGTGGGCCAAAATCTTCAGGAAGGCTACTTAGCATTAGCGCAGCACACAATCTATCGCTAAGGATTGTAGTGTTTATCACTGAGAGCTGATCCATTAGAGTTTCTAATCGTTCAATATGTGCATGCTTGTCACTATCACTTTGTAACTGAGCTGTGCATATTTTTCTCAACAATGAAACTTCTTTACTAAGAGTAGATTTTTCATAGTAATTTTGCAAACTGTTCCACATCGATTTAGCAGATGATTCCTTCTTTATAAAACGTATTTGACTGTCTTCAACGGATAATGATATGAAACTTTGAGCCTTCGCATCCATGCTTTTCCACGCATCAGTAATGGGTGTTGGAGCAGTTTCCTCGATGCAGTTCCATACTCGTTCCTTTAGAAGAAACAATCGCATACGATATGCCCAAACATTGTAATTTGCTCCATTTAATTTGGCAATGGTAAACTTTACTAAATCCGCCATTTTGTCCTTTGTTGACTGTGTCTGTGCGTCTGTCGTCTCTATTGTATGTTTATTCCAAACTGTTTACGGTTACTACTGCTATGTCCGTGTCTGTGTTCCTTCTGCATTAGTGGCCTGGGCCCATAACCTGTTAGACTTTATTTGATATATAAATATCTTTATTTAGAACTTCCAAATTACAACTCGTTAAACTGCAACCGCAGAAAGAAAAAAAACATCAACAAAAACAAGAAGTTGCCAGACACATCATCTGTCAACTGTCATACACAAAGTGGTCTTTTACTGACCGGTAAAAAATAAATGTATTAGTTGAAGTTGAATATCCAATAGTTATAATGTTTAATAATAAAAATATTTAGCGTTTTTGTATTTTTTAAAACAAAACTTTGATCCGAGATTAGTTGATCTCGAATTTGATCCGCGTACGAGCAACCGGGCCGTAGTAACTCATCCGTCAATGCTATGAAAAATGGTGCAGGAGTCATGTCAAATTCAAATATCAGCGGCGCGGTATGAATATTAAATATACTCATAAATAGCATTAAATTCAAATAAAATTCACCATTTTTCATAACATAACGTCACTCAATAACGATTTAAAACTGGACTGTAGTTAAACCTTACCCTTACATATACGTGTTTTGTTATTGTTTATAGAAACGACGGTAATTAGTTGTATTTTCACTTTGATGTTAATATAATCTTTATTAATATTTCTCGTGTGTTAATTATCTGCGAACACTACACTGCCTTTTATCAGTTTTAAAAAAATTAGGAGAGGGTAGCACCTAAAAACCCACTTAATAAAGATTGGGTGGTTTCATGCTTTGAAGGCATATGCAGAATGATAAGAAGCGTTTCTGCGTTAAATTTCAAAAAAATCGAAAAACTGAATCAAAAGTTATGAATAAAAAAGAAACAATAATACGCAACTTTAATTTAAAACTTCAAACTTGCGACTTCAAACTTATTTCCAAAAATAAGAGGTTTTTAAAAATATATATTTGATATATATTACAAACTAATATTAATTTGAAAAAACTTCGAAATTTTAAGAAACTTTAGAAATTTCCACCTTTTTTATTTTCCAGAATATTAAAAAAAATTACTTGAAAAAGTTGCTTAGAATTAAAAGATCTATAAGCAGTTTAAAAAGAAAGTATCAACGTATGAGACACCCTGTATAGTAAGAATCGTAGATTATCTTTTTTTTCAATCTGTTTTCTTCAAAACATGATTTTGTATTAATTGCTTAATATTAATTCATTGAATCAATCAATTAAACAAGATGAATAATTATAACTTTAATACAAATTAGCTCTAGTATCCTTTTGGTAAGTATTTATCTATGCTACTCTCCCTAAGACTTCGGTGTGAATTTACGAAAGGAACGATGTAGTCTCATACCTGTGACATGTTATATAGGCAAATCGAAAGTACGATTGATGCAACCAAAAATTGGGCAAATACACCAATGGAATAGACGTTTTCCAACTCTTGGACATAACTGAAATTAAAATAATATTATAGATTATTATTAATATAAGTATATAAAAAACTTGTTGAAGCAAGTCATTAAAAGTTAGAAAAAAGCCAGAAAGTACAATGTTTGAAAGTTGCTATAAACTTGAATTTTCACAGTTCAGAACGTCTTAAAAGTATGACTGATATCAATTGGACCTATTCATTTAACGCCCTATAAATTAATGCACTTTGCAATTTAAAAAATGTTAAATTCTCGATAATGAAATTTTCAATGCAGTATTTTAATTAAATATGCCCTCCAAAAAATATACATATACAGGGTGGCCCAGAACTCACGCCCCACCGGGAAATGCCTTATAAAAACGACAATGGAGATACCAAAACTACAGTCAAAATCATGAAAAAGTTATTCATTTGGTACATAAAGAGGTTTAAAATTGATCAATCCCAGTCAATCACATACGCGAAAATGACGTGATTTAGCTATACACCAATTTGACATTATTGAAGGATTCTATGTCAGTTTCACTTTCAAGTTTAAATCAAAAGCTGCCAAAATCGGCTGCTAATCATTTTCATATTTTTGACTGCAGTTTTGGCATTTTCATTGTCGTTTCCATAAGGCATCTCCCAGTGGGGCATGAGAGTTCTGGGCCACCCTGTATGCTCGATACTCTATCCTACTTTCCGTACTATACACTAACCTACACAAACCTATATAACTAATAATATAATAGGTTTGTTTCTACAACAGTTAAAAATAGCCGGTGGTCGTCAGAAGTCTGCGCAGTCATAATTTAGTCGTTACAACAAACGGGGCGCAAGCGCATTTTCAATTCGGGTTTAATTTGTATTTCCGAATATAGGTTAATTATTAGGTTATGTTGTTTTTGTTTGATATTTGGTGAATATGTAATAAATGTGAAGACTGTTCCACCAGGAAATCGGAAATTTGATTACCCCATTCAATTATAAACCACGCATACGAAATAGAAGAGTCAGAAACTTATTGGTAGAAAATCAGTGACTTTGCATCATCATATTCATATTATTATTGGAAATAATATAGGTACCACTCATTTAATATTATTTCTATTTACTTACCTAAAAACAGCATCGTAAAGTTTGACACACTGCGTGATTTGTGCATAAATTTTCTTTTGGACCAGATCATCAAGACCTATTTGATCAGGCGTAGTTAAATCTGTATCCAAATATTGCTCCATATTCTCCAACTTGTACTTGATGAGTTTAAGCTGCGCTGCGCAGTACAACATGTAACTCACTATGAGCATATCAACGCAAAAATGTCCTAATACCCCGTGTAAGTACGCTAAGAAAAGAACATATTTTAATCGTTATAACTTCGAAATAATTAATTATTTATACATGTGAAATGCCGAAAATTTGCTGAACGGGGCTCTTATACGGCGATAGGAAATCTCGGATAGATTCGTCTAGTATTGCCGGCAAACTCGGCTTAGGCGCGTTGGTGTTGTGATAATAAAGTGTTTTTGAGAAAACCCCGGCGTTTCAGTCAGAAGTGGGATCAGGATCAGCGTGCGAAGAGGCGAAAGGCGAAGGATTTTCAGGAGGAAGATCTAAGGGGAAAAAAAGGGCGACCTTGGTTTGCTCAGATGTTTCAAACATCATAATGCTTAGGCGATTAAATTGTAAGTACCCATTTTATTATTGCGGCGATATAACATACTGGAGTTGGAGTAAAAGAGAAGCGGCGTATTTGTAAATTTGATCGGCGAAATAACAAGGTGAAATACATCACCGCCGAAGAAGGATGGGTGTGCGCATGTGCAACGACGAACGTGGTTTTTGATTTTTGCAATCGGCGGCAAGCGGTGACTTGACTAATTGACAAATATCAGCAATCCGTCAAGAATTAATTGGTGCACTGGGCGTTAGGATGGTGTTACAATGGTCCTACGTGGAGGTAAGAGGGGCTCACCAAAGGGCAGACGATATATAATTATTGTATTATCGGGGTATTCCCGGCGACGATGATTTTGGTTTCAGGTTTTTGGTTTTAGAAGCTGAAACTGGGAAAGTGCTCTTTTACACCAAAGTATTAGGTATTTACGAGATCGACGCGGCGTCCTTGAAACCTGGGCGATGTTAGATTTTCCTGTACGTAAGGATACGTTAGTCAATTTCTAGGACTGGTGAGTTACGGAAATTAATTCGAAACTTTGCAGTGTTTGCAAAACCACTAAGAAGTTTGACCAAAGAGGTCTAGAATGGTAATGGACGGGCGAACAACAAGCGTTTGTTCTGATAAAGGTTTTCTCAAGGTTTTCCAGAAAGAAATGTTCCAATCTTATAACGAACTTGTGTACATCAGAGCATGCGGAATACAATACTGATACAAGCATAATTTGAACATACTGCTGGAACAAACCTAATTAGCGGTATGGTAGTATACAAGTATGTAAGACTAAAAGGTGTAATTTCGTTGCGTCGTTCGGCGTCCGCGGTCCGCCGTGACGTCCAGTCATCAAACATGTCTACATTGTTTCATAATGACAATGATTTCATTAAATCGGCTCGTTTTAGGTACGCGGCGTTTAGCCGTTGCGAGCTACGTTTTGACTGCTCAAAAAAATGTCAAGACGCGAACGGTCGACGGCTAGGGGTGTATTTCCATGTACTGAGTGATTCAGTGAGGTCAGTATTGAATTCGATTTTTTTTTTCAAAATGTCAAGAAAGTTTACAATTAACAAGGACGAACTATTGATTTATCGGAAGATGGAAGTTCCTTGTTTATACGATCATGAAAATAAGGACTATCAAAGACTATCAAATTTAATGACTATCAAATACGCGAAAATTGGAGAAATTTGTAGTTTAGTAGAATTTGTGGACTGCTTCTTCAAATCTGCCTCAATGAGAACTCAATATTAATATTGTCTTAAAAACTTTCGAAATTTGTCGTCGTCGACATCAAGATAGGATTCAACAAAAACTCTGTAAAATCCTTTTTGACCTCTAGATCTATACATTTCGTGAGTTTCATCCCGTATGAAGAACAACAATCAAGAACAACGGATCATGAGCCTCTTCTTTGTCTTCTAATAACATAATTGCCGCTAATGTTTCTGGATCCATTTTTAAGAACTTAACAACCCGTAAGTAAACGAGTAAACTACTACCAAAACGCAGACTCAACACGATTTAACCAAATGGTGCAAACGTGACGACTATCCGTCACTTCTGGACGTCACGACGGCGTCAGGGCGTAATAAGTAATTATAACTACTAAAGAAAAAGGGATAAACAAAAAAATATTACAAATATACTAATTGCTGTGATTTTAGTTGATGCATTATTATACCAGAGAGTACCACTTAACCTCAAAACGGACCACACAAACAAGGTATTTATTAAAATAAATAATGATCTTCTCAACGTTCACACGATCTAAAGGTTTTAAAATTTAAAAATAGTAAAATTTTATGAATGATTCATAAATTCTTCGTAGGCTAATTTTCGAATGTTACCGTATTTTATACAAAAACGTGTGCCGCACGCTCTCAGGAATACCTTTAAAAATTTTGGGACATATGTACAAAAATGAAGCTTAAGAATGATTTTCTTAAATTATCAAATGGAACTAACTTTCTGTGCATATGTGGGTATAATAATGTGCACACCAAGTATTTGGGTGCAAAAATTTAATAATCTAGTTTGAATATCTACCTGAAAAAACGAAGGCATTAGTGCAAACATACCAACTGGTACTATTTAAAACATCTACTGGCATCCAAATAGGCAATTTTAAATCGCTGTGATCAGAAAGTATGACGTTTATCAACATCACAAAAGGCGCTGAAGTAGCCGAATAGAAATACACGTTATGTTTGATTTTACGTTGTCGCATCGATTCCTCGATGATATGTTTATCAATTTCCACTTCCGTGTTGAAAATACTCTCGTTCCATTGATTCAGGAGCCTTTTGGTCAAATCCGGGTTAGTGATGAAGGGCCAGTGTTTGAATACCAACACCAACACTTCTATGTAGACGAAAGAATTGCCAATCAAGATCATCCTTTCGCTGGGATCCGCCTTGTAAATGAAAGTGTATCCCAGAATGGGGAATACGATTTTGAAAACGAACAGCAGGCAAGAGGTATAGAACGAGTACAGTATTTGATATCTTTCTCCCGGTAGCAGCCCGTTCAATTTCAGAAGAAACTCGATCTGCCAAAAAGATTTTCTTAGCAATTTTTGATTCGTCATATTTTTTAACTGATCTGATATGAGTGATTGGTAATTCACGAACGCGTTTGCGGACTAATTCGGAACTGAAATCTAATGTAATACGTATATTGATTGTACTCAGTATTAAATTATCTAGCCAAGTATAAATTAGCCCAATTACGTTTGCAGTGATTTCTCGTTAATTTTTAAATATACATAGCTACAGGGTGTGTTCTCTTTAAGTACCGGTACAGAATGTATAGTTTGGATCATATGTAATAAATAAATTCTATTTCTCAGTTATTATTTGTATGATTAATAAACTCTGAATTAGGTCAATTTTTGGTTTTTAAATAGAATTTGGTAACTTCAAATTTTCACCCTTGAAATCCCCTCAGAAATAAAATAGGAAAATAGTAAATAAATTACAATAAACACAATGGCCGTATTCAGCGCCTCACTTTAACTTTAGAGTGACTCTAAAGTCACGTCTTAACTTGACAGTTTTACATTGTTGTTATGGAGTAACTAGGGACTCGGGACGCGACTTTAGAGTCACGCTAAAGTTAAAGTGAGGCGCTGAATGCGGACCAATAATTTCTTCTGTTGATTAATAAATTTATTAATACTATTAACAAAAATACACAATTCATTAAATTTTTAATCATGGAACTAAGCAACAGAATTAAAAAAAATGACTTTATTTCAAATAAGGTGTTACAGTTGTATTAAAAAAAAAGGGTACAAGTAATAGAAAGAGACATTAATGTCATCCTATTTACGTAAAATCGGCTAGAAATACTTTAGCTTATCAAATGTCATATGTTGAAAAAATTGAAATCATTGGCGTTGGGAGTCAATTAAACTAAATAATGACCAATGATACTTAAATTATTTACATTTTGACAACTTTTGACATTTGATAAACTTCAATAATCCCAGCCGGTTTGACACAAATAAGATGACATGACGTTAATGTCTCTGTCTATTTCTTGTACCCTTTTTTTATGAATACAACTGTACAAGCCTACCCTTATATTTTAACAATTTAGGTGTGGTACGTTTAATACTGATGGAGTTGCAGTTAGGGATGGAAATTTTAAGTTACTAAATTTAATTAAAAACACAAAATTGACCTCTTTTAGCTTTTTTTAATTATACAAATCTTAACTGAGAACATGAATTTATTCATTGCATATCATTCACATAGATTCAACTGGTTCAACTGGATCGTAAAAACTACATTTCGTTAACTGTGTATCATGATGTATTGGTAAATTTGGTTTCACTCTATTTTGTCTAGGTTCTAATGTTATTAATAAATGATAAAATCAACGGAGGAATAATTTAAATAATGCAGGAAATTATGAGTTACCTGCGAGGATTGTTGGAAGCGATTATTCCAATGAATTAATAATATTTTAGTCACCTTCGAAACGTATTTGGTTACATTTATTCTAAACACAGATTCAATATAAAGGATTCTAATGGAATCTGGACGCAGATTCTATGGAAAATAGAATAAAATCCTACAGTAGGTTCATATTCAGATATCTAGATACATACATATCATATACAGGTCATATACAGATCATACAGGGTGTTTCATTGGGAAAGGGCAATATTTTAACCCTATATAGAGGTCACCCAGTGGATCATAAAAAACCCATATACTATGGGTCTTGCGCCCTTTATAACCGAGTTACAGGGTGTTTTTTGAATTTGGCCCATTTCTTTCGACACCTATAACTTTTGAATCACTACCTCTTGGTGGTGTGGAAAAGAATACTTATTCTAGTATCTTTTTTAAAAAATCTAGTAAATTACTTAGTTAAGTTTTGAATTTTCTCATGTAGAAATGTAAAAATTGAATAATCAATGATTAACTATTAAATGAAATGAAATCATTTTAATTTTATTAAGTGCGGATCTGTATAATTGTAATTTTTATTGGTTTATGTGAATGTTAATTCAAGTTCAATAGGTCTATTTTAGGAATTTCCATGAAAGTGTTAAGTAAATCTGGTTTTATTAAGGAAAAAATAATTAAAATCCCTTCAATTACAATTTACATGGACCAAAAATCTCATAATGTACATTTTAACGTTTAAATTTTGGTAGAATAATGGCATGCGGGAAAATAAAAAGTTGATGAATACATTCAGTTTTTTATGCTCTTTCTGAATTTGAAATTCAATTTTTAAAAATATGATGTATAGGGTGTTGTTTTAGGGTCGGTCAAATTTTATTAATTTTTCTAAATCCGGACCTGGATTTTGTAATTTTTTAATGTGGCAATAATTTGTCCTAAAGGTATAGAATATCTTTATATCAAATATCAAAAAAATATACTAAGTGATTCAAAAGTTATAGGTGTCGAAAGAAATGGGCCAAATTCAAAAAACACCCTGTAACTCGGTTATAAAGGGGGCGCAAGACCCATAGTATATGGGTTTTTTATGATTCCCTGGGTGACCTCTATATAGGGTTAAAATATTGCCCTTTCCCAATGAATCACCCTGTATACAGGGTGATTCATTAACAATAGGAAATCCGAAAACTGGAGATACTACACGTCAAATGGTGAGCATTGGTGCCAACATTCCTTATCCGAATGTTTATACTTTCGGAAATATAAAGTGTTGAAAATAAAAATTTTAAATCTTTTTTACAATTTTACAAATTTTCGCTATGCCTGTTTACTATAGTATTTAATTAGCTGACATGCATTTCACGTACGTACAACATTTGGTACTTTCCTTTTAAAATTGTAAGGGTTGTTACCCCCACCCCTCGAAGGTTAATGGGTAATTCCAGCCTAGTGTCCCCCTAAAAAACTAAAATTGACGTGTCTGAGCGTTTATTTTAAGTGTCGATACATCTCATGATATTGGCCTTTTTCCTTTTTAAATTGCCACCCTTTCTATTGCTGTACTGCCCAAACGGCTCATTTGCGGACACCTGTTTATTAAGACTTTTCTGCTTATTTTGGACCATACTACCACCCATTTCATTTTGTGAATTTTTTTAAACACCCTGTATAGAAGAAATTTACTCGATATTTTACGCTTAGGTCAGTGGGACCCCCCGGTAGCAGCAGCACCATCTACGCGTTGCCAATTTTTAGTAGTCTCTCATCTTTCTTCCTCCATGGGAACAGGCTATTTAACACAAATAAACTGCACTCAAATATAGTATATTAGCTAGACGTCCATCACAAACGCAAAGAAAGAAGTACGCCGATTCCAATTCACGGATAATCAATATATTAGAGAGCTATGAGGAATGCAACATCTTTGAATATGTTGATGGAATTGCTCACAATCTCTCATTTTAATTATATAACCTAAATATAAGGCTATTTTAAATATTATATGCATTTGTATTTTTCAAATCTTTTCTCTTTTCAAAATTTTTCTTTTTTCTCTTTTTAAAGAAAAGGGGGTTTATATTCGGGAGTGCTTGACTCAGAGGGTAAATTTACGGGGGGTACACGTCCGGGGGTTTTTATCCTATTACCGAGAGTTAACAAAGCGCTAGCTTTGATCAGGTGTTAGTAAACACCGCAATTGATCTGCTTTCGTGCAACTGGCCCAAATTTATCTCTCATGCAATCGAATTTATCTAATTAAATATAATTCACCTGTAATATTGTCACGGATCGGGGATGTAATCAAGAAACTTCACGTTCGTAATAATATTTGCCGCACATTAATTAATTGATATAACAACATTTAATAATTTTTCGCATGTAAACAGAAACAATATCTGTTTACATTAAGTATATTAATGCTGAATAGGCAAGGTCGGTTGACCGTGAATCGCGAATGCAGGTCGGCGTATTACATACAGGGTGACCCAGGGTCGCGTTAAAGTCCCATAACTTTTTACCTAATTGAGATATCGACTTGATTTTTTTTTCAAAAGGTAGGTACAATAATACTGCATATTATTAAAATAGTTTCGTCTATATACAGGGTGGCTCAATATTAGAAATTCACTAAAGTTACCTTTTTTTTAATGGAACCCCCTATATATTATAACATTTTTGAATTCTTTAGTGAATTTTAGTGTGACTTTATGTACCATACATTGTACCTAAAACCAATCGTTTAGTGGTAATTCGACACTTTCGAAAAAAGTAGAGGTTTCAAAAAAAAAGGATTTTGCCGCTTTTGTAAAACTTGGAAGGTCGTGACTCTGGGTTATTAGTAAACATGAAATGTACTACTGTGTGACATGGATTCAGAATTGAATACTGTTTGTGTTCTTAGATATCGATAAGCAAATTTACAAAATTTCAATTAAAGGTAACTTGATTTTTTTAAATGAAACTACCTACTTTTTTGTACACCATCTTATAGGAAATTTTATTGCCTTTCTAACGATATAACATAGTCAATATTTTTACCTGTTAGTTTTTTTTTAATTCCGGAATTTCTTATAATTCGCGGTAATTTTCACGGCCTAACACTATAGACATTGTCCTTAACAAATCCCCATAGGAAAAAATCAATTGGTGTCAAATCGCGGGAACGGGAGGCCAACAACAGCTAACGACATGAAGATCCGGATAAGAGACGCTTTTCGATCAATTGATCAAAACATGCTAACGCGCGTCAAAAATTCGTTTTTAAGAAGACTGGACTGGACGTATGCATCGAATATAATGGCAATATCTTTGAGCATCTACTGTAAGAAAAATTATTGTTCTATCAAAAAAACTGTTCTTTACCATTATACCAATAATTTTTCCTTGTACATATCACTATCTCCCTAAAATCAAATAAATTCTAGTTGATTGATTGATCTGTATAGTTTTTTTATAATTCACTATCTTTTATAAAATTTTTGATTTATTTTAATTTAATTTACAATATTGAGCCAGTTTAAACAGTATATTGAAAATTAAAAATTACCGGGAATTATAAGAAATTCCTGAATTAAAAGAAAACTAGCAGGTAAAAATATTGACTATGTTATATCGTTAGAAAGGCAATAAAATTTCCTACAAGATGGTGTACAAAAAAGTAGGTAGTCTTATTTAAAAAAATCAAGTTACCTTTAATTGAAATTTTGTAAATTTGCTTATCGATATCTAAGAAC